CAACACACGCACCTAGTTTAAACCTGGCCCGTATAGTCTGCCTGGTTAACGTCGCCAAACTCTAAATCGTGAGATCGGCTGATATCGGCGTCCATGGCTGAGACAGCCTAGACCAAGCCTTTACGGACTCATCGCATGCGAGACCACGCAGCGTCAGTGGTGCTAGCGGTTGATTGTCGTCGCTGCTTTGGGTAATCGACAAAACCCACCGATGAAGTTGATAATCTTCCCTTCCAATGGAAGAGCCACCTGCAACCTATTAAAGCGTTAGGGAAAGTGGGTGATGTCGATGTCAACACTGGAGCCTCAATTATACGTGCCTCTGTACGACGCCTATATCCCCGTGTCCGTGTTTGACAAGTGGGCTCTCGGGCTGATTCGCCGGGCGGTGACGGCGCTGGTGCTGGTGGGGCTGTGCACGGTGTTGCTCTTTGTGTTGCTTCTCTTACGACGTAAGGACCACTTCATCCACTGGGCCCACATCGTAATTATCCTCACGCAAATCATCCGGCTGGCGCTTGATTTGTCGGTGGTGGTTGGGCCGTTGCTGACGATTGCCTTCGGGGTGATGGGGGTGGTTGACTTTGACGTGATGAAGGCGTACCTGGTACTGGCGGCGGCGCTGTGTCTCACGATGTTGCTCATGCTACTCATTGAATTGTGCTTAGTGTACCAGGCGTGGACTATATTTAGACCCTACGCCCGCCAGTGGTGGTGTTGGGTGGTGGTGGCGATTACGAGTGCATTAGGCTTGGTGACGTTTGCCTTTGAGCTCACCGCCATCGTCATGGGGATCAACGCTCAGGTGAGACAACACTTTGCTGAGATCTATGACCCGATGCATAAGCTCAGTTCGCAAGTACCTGGGTGGGTCACGGGGCTTCCTTACATTTTGTTCACGGTGCTGATTTGTTGGGGGCTGTTCCTTCTTGTTTGCAAGCTTGCCTATGCCCTTAGGTTGCGTCAGAAGCTTGGGTTATCTAAGTTTGACCACCTCCATGTGCTCATGATCATGGGGACGCAGACGATGATAGTCCCCGCCATCACCATGATAGTGAACCATGCATTATTTAAGACCGTCGATAAGGTGCTTTTGCAAGTGCTGATCCTCCTTGTGGTGTTATCTTTACCGTTGGCGCTGATGTGGGCTCAAATGCAGAACGAACACCGGGTGCTGCTGGCAGCGATGCTCTACGTCCACGACGACGACCAGCTGACCCTCGAGCCGGTGACGGTGCTGGACTTGGCCTACGTGTGTGAGACCAAGAAGATTTAGAATTTTGAAGAACAATGAACGCTTAGTAGAGATGTCAACTTTAGCCCCGGGTTTTGATCGAGGATTTTCCCCCATACGTAGGATGTGGAGATTACTCGGCGGGGGGTCGCCTCATGTAAGCGCGCGCGGTGAGACATTAAGAATCCATGTAAGATACGAGTCACAGGCCGGGCAGGTGCAGTACGACGAGTCCCTATGATGTCAGGCGATCACCCAGTGTCGGTTTTTTTTTTTTTTCTTTTGAAATGTCAAACGTTTAAGGAACGATCCCGGGTCCGTAACCGAGCGAATTACTCAAACGAGAAGGAGGGGATCTTCACACCGCCATAGAGAAAGCACAGTAATGCCACACCTAGTCGGTTGTCGAGAAACACCTCCAGTTGCCAACCAACATGGCGACGGCGTTTGCGCGGGAGCTATCGTCTCGGCCGAGTCATGTTTGTTCGCCGTTGCATGGCAGAATAGGGTGTAGGTATCTGACGACGGCCATGCACGGTCGTCACTGCAAACTAGTGAGGGTGGCTCGCTCCCTCCCTCACCGTCAACCCCACTTTTCCTGTCTATAAGCGCGGTGCAACAATATTTTTTGGCCATGCACACGACCCACCGTCAACGGTTTTTTTCCTGAGGTTAAAAAATTCACCAGTGAGCCTTTATAACGGTAGCCTGCCCCAACCTAGTCACTTTCCTGCCCCCCCGTTTTGCCGCTGGTCCCCTGACCCTACGCCGTCATCGCATCCCCCCTTCCCCGGTACGTTTCAAACGAACCTACGTTACCACCCTTTCCCGCCCACCATATCCCCCTAAGCCCGTCACCCTCCCTCGCGACACCGTAGGGAGAGAGCGAATGACGCTTTCCTTCAAACGCAACCCTGCCCCCTCCGGATTCCCTCTCGACCCGCTGCGACAGCAGTTTGGCGGCCAGAAGAAGAAGAGCGGCCTGGGAACCGTCCACGTTATCCCCACCCTCGATGAGCTCCTTGAGGACGACCTGCTGAGCGGGTTCTACTCCAAGTCCGAGTTCACCCAGTACTTGCAGCTGATCCACTGCGTGGAGAACTTGACGTTTGTCATCGCCATCAACCTGTATATCGCCAACCCCCTGCTCTCGAAGTGGAAAGTGTTATACCAAGAGTTTTTCACCGAGTTCCTGGACAGCGAGATCAACTTGCCCCTGCACTGCAAGAACATGGTGCTGGCGATGCTGACGCCCCGCGTCGAGGTGTTGCTCCAGCTTAAACGCGTGATCTACGACGATATCCTCTTGGACTTGTATAACGAGTTCATCAAAGAGCAGAAGCTTAAGCTTCAGCGACAAAACCCCAACGCGCTGTTTAAGCGGCGCGAGGGTCTCACCACAGCGCTGGCGCTGATGGTGCTGCTGCGCCTGCCCCCGACATTGTCGTCGGACTGTCCCCTCGACTGCGATACCGACCACGAATGCTTTAGCCCCAAGCTGGCGCCGCTGCTGCGGGGACTGCTGATCGGGCTGATCGTCGACTCGTTCAAGATGGACCTCAAGAAGTTCCGCCGGCGCCGCTTGTCGAGCGACAAGGACTTGCCCGAGGTCGTCGAATCCTAATACTCCCTACATCATACCCCCATGACTGGTTATAGAATTATAGACTAATGAGACACGACTAGACTAATCTTATTGTGTGTAGCCCCTGCAGAGCGTTTTGCTACCGTTATCTCCAGCAGGGGTCGGTCACACCTTGGTGCACCTTAAGCAACGGGCGTCCTGATCAGGACGGTTGCCAGCCCCATAGCGTACGATGTCGTCAACGAGCGAGCGCGGGGAATCCGCAGCAGGCTCTCAACCGCCAGACCCCGAAGATGATGACCCCAGGTTTGCCTCGAAAATACCCCTCTACCTGCCTCCGCTCGTATCACATGCATTTATTATGCTGGGGGGTGTGGTGCATGGGACACGTACAAAGAAAAAAACAACCGTCGCCACTTCGCGCAAAACGTGCCCAGTTAGCGCGTTGAAACGACCTGATGACGATAGACGTTGGGGCTGAGCCTCTCATCATGCAAGGTCCCGGTATCGCCGATGTCGGCGTGTGGTTTCCGGGGAATGCGCCCCCGCGCTGATCGTCCTCGTGGCCCCTCGCACTCGACCACAGCAAGTTTATCGGTGGGCGCACACCCCCTTGTTTTCAGGGAGCCCGCTCGGAGTTTGCCATCGCCGGCTGCCCCGTGGTTGCGAAAAGCAACCAAACAATAGCGCCGGCTCCGTGTTAGCGGCGCCGTTGTATCAGTTGTATCGGTTCGCTAATGTCGTCACCACACCCGCTGGCACCTCCACGGCGATATCGCTGGCGGGCTACCACCGCTAAAGCCTCGTTCCAGGTTACTATAGGACTAACGGACATAGCGCGGCGTGATGTCCGTTCTCCCCGCAGCTGCCCCAACTCTGTAAGCCCCCCCATAGGCAATGTTCCCGAATGATACGATCCCTAATGCTCATGCATGTATCATAACACAGGAGGGCATCGGTGTCGGTCGCCAGGTATAACCTAGTGGGGCTCGATGATTGTCTCAGCCCCAAATTTCATCAGGCAGCGTAGGAGAAGGTAACGCCAAACCGCGACAATTGCGGACGCCCGTCGCCAAAATGCATCTTGAAGCCAGTGCTCATTAAGAATTCGCCGACATGCCCCTCCCACAACATCTTGACCAGCCGGTCTCCAAGACTGGTGCTGCACTTGAGCACCAGCTTGAAATTCAGCTCGTTCACTAGCGTTTGGAACGCTGCCGTCATGTCGTCCGCCTGGCGCCGCGGCTGGTTCAACAATTCGGGGTTGATGTAGTATGAGTCTTCCTGACCCTGAATCGGGTTGAGAATCACCAGGTTTTGCGTCACTTGCCCGGGGAAGAGCATGGGCAAATTGATTTGCTTGCGGGGAAGTTGGGGCCCCGGTGGAGTAGCCGTAGGGTGGAAATTGTATAGCTCACAGCCTAACGAAAGGTTCAGAGCATAGGAAAAGGCATTGAAATCGTACTTTGAGCAGAAGGTCAGGGCCACCGAAGTCTTCACCGTGTATGTCAGCTGAATGTGGCCCAATATGGGGTTAACCGCAACTGTCATCGTCAATGGCTTCCCCGTCAGTGTCAGCCGGGTCAGGTAGCGGAGGGCAGTAGAGAGCCCTGGAGACATCGTCTTGGCAGCGTACCAAAGCTCAGTGCCGACGCTGATCACCAGGTTGTCAAATTTGGGGATGACTCGACCACCACTGGCTGCGGCAGAGTCGCCGAAATTGTAGAGAAACCTTAACCCGCAAAGGGCTTCATTGGTCAGACAAATGAACTCGCGTGAAAACCGAGGCTTATTCGTTTGTAAATAGACGATCATCGTCCCGTTATCGTCGACGTACGGGTTCGAAATACACTTGACGAGCATTTGGGTCAGCTTGGTGATTCTCTTGATCAACATTGCTTCTAATGCCAGTCCGGGGAAGTACATCCGTCCGTAGACTAACATCGGTAGTTTTTTCGCCGTCAGCGGGTCGATGTCCCCGGTACTTTCATCTTTCACCGGCTCGATGATCTTGAACCCCGCGATAGCCTCCTGAAGACTGGCGTCTTTGGTACCACTGGTAGAGTATAAGGGGATCGACGAGTAGAAGTAGGCAATCAGCCCGTTGATCGCCCGGTAGTTGCTGAGGGTAAACAGCAGCGCCAGGTACGGCGTCAGTTGCAGCAGGACGTCGACCTTGGCGCCGTTGGGCACGGGGAACTCGAGCAACGCGGTCAGCGTCGCCGTGAGATGGCTGAATATGTTGTCTTCATTCCACTGGGTAGCTTTGTAGAAACATCGCTGGAGATATTCCATATAGGTATACATCAGCTCAGTATTTGGGTAACGCGCACCGCGCGTCCTCTGGTGTCATCACAAGGCGACAAAACTTACAAAGAAATACAAGGGAATGATTTACATTATATTAGCGTTCTGGTGTCTTTTCTAGGTAGTCCTTGTCAATGGGAGATCGGTTTCTCATTAACGATGTGTCTAGAGTCACCATGGTGGGCCGGCCATGGGCACAATGGAAAGGATCACGACACTGTTTTAGTTCTGATAACAATTGCGTCATATCTTTCTGAGAAAGCTTATCGCCAAACTTGATTGCACTTTTACACGCTACTGAGTAAGCGGTTTGAAGCACCACCTCGGGGTAGCTTTGGTAATGGAATCTATCGTGTAGGATCCAGGGTTTATCGTGCAGTAGTAGAGCCTGTAGATGATCACTAAGCGCCTTCTTAAGTTGCTCATCGGTTATCCCTTCAAGTAATTCGGGGATCGCCACCACTTTAGTATTGCCATCATCAGCTGACTCTATGGTAAAGCCAAACTGGGCAAGATTAGATGCTAAACGGTGCAGAAACGGGACCGCTACCACTTTATCCATATCAACAGACGTCAGATCAACAACTGCCAATAAATGTTCAAGTCTCGCGCGTTCATCGGCGGCGTGTTGATCAAACATGATTACCTCCCCATTAGTTTCGAGGCGAGCCAATATGAAGCGCTCCTTCACTTGTTTGATCACTTTGATTGATTGTAGGTCCTGACTTGTGATCTTCTTGGCTGGGGCTAGTGCCGGAGATTGGCTTCTCTTTCGCGGGCTCTGACGAGCCATGGGGCGTCGAGCTGGACTCATAAGCCCAAACATCTGGTCGAGAAGGATTCCCCAGTCGTCAGTGCCTTCAATGAAAAGCACAAAGTTGTACTTGTATTTGGTTGGTGGTAGTTTTGGTGAGTCATTAAGATATAGGTACCGTTTCGGCTTATCCCATAGCCACCCTCGCACTGTAGTTGCCTTGTAGGAAGCTTCGACGGGTGTCATATCAAAATCTCCATATACCAGTCGAAATAGAGACAATTCAGTGGTACTATCAACGTCAAAATATACGGTATCACCCGATACGATCTGGTACCGCCGTCCCAACGGTGTCACCTCTATAAGCAAATCTCTTAGTTCTTTAAGGTGTTGTTGTTGATCCTTTTGTTGTTCCCGAGCCTTTCTTATCGGGTAGTCATCAAAACTGAGCCTCTCATCGTCGTGGCTGACAACGATCTCGTCGAAGTCGATAGCAATCTCGCCCCGGTCTCCACTGGAAAGCACCGCCTGCGCTGCTAACTCGGCCAACGTCGACGCGGTATTGCCCAAGCGGCGGACGGTATCCCCATCGAGCGTCTTAATCATCCCCCCATTAGTATAGAAAATATAGAATTGCTATGATGTTGATCTCTTGGGTACTCAACCTGAAAAGTGCGCCGGGCATCGCCGCGTACTTAACACCATATATGGCCAAGAAGGATAAGAAGCTGAAGGAGGCGAAAAAGGCCCGTACTGCTGAAAAGGCTAAAAAGAACGAGGCTAAGGCGGCTAAGAAGGCCAAGAAGTTTGACGACGAAGACGCGGATGACCAGGATATCGATGCCATTCTCGAACAATTTAAGAAGGAACAGGAAGAGTTTGAAAGAGTGACGGTGGAGGTCGTCGACCCGCCGCTGAAACGGTTGCTGGCAGCCATGGTAGCCAGTCCGTGCAACCGGCGGGAGATCTTGTTGTTTGGCGGGGAACAGGTGGAGCTGGGACTGGGGCTCTTAAGGTTCTACAACGACTTATACTCTTACAATACCGATACCGACGTGTGGCGTAAAATCTCGTCGAAGAACCTGCCGATGCCCCGTTCGTCCCACGCCATGTGTGCTCATCCGCTGGGGATCGTGGTGTTGTTTGGGGGTGAGTTTCTGTCGCCGAAACAGAACACCTTTTACCACTATGGGGACACGTATATCTTGGACGTGGAACTGCGGCTGTGGTCTAAAGTCGAACAGAAGAACGGGCCGTTACTGCGTTCGGGCCACCGGATGGCGTGCTGGAAGAACTATATCATGATGTACGGGGGTTTCCGCGACTTGGGCGCCGGTGGTACCACCTATCTCGACGATTTCTGGGTGTTTGACGTCCAGGAATACAAGTGGACGAAGATCGAGTTCCCGCCGACACTTCTGGTCCCCGAGGCTCGCTCGGGCCACTCGTTATTGCCTTGTACTGAAGGGGCGATTATCTATGGTGGCTACACTAAAGTGAAGACGAAGAAGAAGGGGTTGCAAAAGGGGAAGGTGCTTGGCGACTGCTGGCTCGTGAAGATGAACCTGGACCCTAAGAAGATCCGTGTGGAGAAACGGCGGAAACAAGGGCCCCAGCCACTGCCGCGTGTCGGGTGTCAGCTCCAATTCCACAAGAATAGAGGGATCATGTTTGGTGGGGTCTACGATTTTGAAGAGCTGGAGGAGAGCTTGGAGCTGGAGTTCTACAACCAGGTGTACCTGTACCAAGTGGAGCTGAACCGGTGGTTTAACTTGACGCTTAAACCGCGTCGTCGTAAAGCTGAGAAGCGGGAGAAAGATACCAAAGCTCGTGACGAAGACTTGGAAAACATTTTGAATGAGATCTTGAAGAAAGCAAACTTAAACGATGATGACGAAGATCGTCAAGCGGTAGCGGCTGCCGTGGAAGAGGAAGAAGAGGAGGAGACGAGAGAGTTCACCTATATCAACCAGATGCCCCACCCGAGATTCAACGCCACCACCTGTGTCGTGGAAGACTCATTATACATTTTCGGAGGGATGTTTGAACGTGGGGAACGTGAGTTCACCTTGGACTCTATGTATGCCATCGACTTAGGGAAGATGGATGGGGTTAAGGTTATCTGGGAGAACCTTAAGGAACTTGAAGACGCTGAGGAAGCTGAACAAGACGACGAGGAGGACTATGACGATGACTTCGATGATGATGATGACGAAGAAGAGCCCGAAGATGAGAAGCTTGAGGCGGAAGAGGAAGATGAAGAAGAAGAGGAAGAAGAGGAACAGGAAGAAGAAGAGTTCCCCGATGCCCGCACTTGGTTGCCTCACCCGAAACCGTTCGAGACGTTACGGGCTTTCTATATTCGTACTGGGGCTCAGTTCTTGGAGTGGTCGATTTCCAGTAACCGTGATGCTCGAGGCAAGTACTTGAAGAAGGCGGCGTTCGATCTTTGCGAGGACAGATTCTGGGAACGGCGGGAAGCGTGTGCGGCGGAGGAAGACAAGTTGGAGGAGTTGGGTATTGGTGAAGTGGTGGAGACGGTCGACGATAAGAAACGGTCGAAACAGCGCCGGTGAGAAGTATAGACACTAATAGACATTAATTTGGATTGGTTTGTTGAGAAAGTGGCTTGTAGCCTAGGGTGTGGTAGGATAAGTTACACTCTGTAGATTGAGTGATATTGAGTAACAGTTCCCTGAAACCATCGACCTAGAGTTGAAATATCGGAGTCTTGATTGTCTCTTAGGCTGGTCCACAGGTGACTTATACAGACTACAGTAAGCCGAGGGCTCTTGTAAAAGGTGCTTTTTTCGATAACCCCTAGTCTCGAAGAAGCAGCTAAGGGTAATTGAGAGGGCCCGAGACTCATCTGTCATAGAGTAGAAAAGACAGTTTCTATTATATTATCAAAATGGATAGGTGACTTTTAGCAAAAGTCATGGTCAATTTCACCTGGATTCGAACTTTTGCACAAATTTAAGATATTGGTTCACAGTTTTGTAATTAATCTTTCAAAACGGACAATCTGGTTACATCGGATTTGGTGGGTGCGACGAAAGGGCATCAAATTAAATATAATTAAATTGAATACCACCACTACGAATCTCTCCTTAACCATTTATATCATTCGTTAGTTACTACCCTCACATATTTCCCTCTACGTCACTTTCCCGGTGGGCGATGGCGTTCAGCCACTTGTTAGCAAACCCCAGGAATGCCTGCCAATCAATTGCGGCCAATTGTTAATTACCCCAGGCTAGCCACTGAGCGCGCAGCGGGTGCTGCGAAATGTCGCAAACATCAAAGTCAGCCAATGACAGACGTCGCAATAAGCAGGAACCCGACCCCTTGATGACCGCCAACCACACCCCAAATCCGCTCGGACATGGGGCGAATGGGTTTACTACTAAGCTAACAACAATAACCGTAACCTCCTACCCCTAAAACTCGCCTCCATCGCCGTCCGCCGACGCCATTTACACCCCGGGGGTTACAGGAACATCCTGCACATACGCATAACGGTGACTTTTTATATCCATTCGGCGAGAGTTTTTTCAGTCCCAACCACCCACCATGCTTAGAACCGTGTTTGGTAAGCAAACCTTCAGAGGTCTCGCCACTGCTGCCCAGAAGCAGCCCAACATCAAGAAGTTCCAAATCTACCGCTGGAACCCGGATACCCCTGAGGTCGAGGCCGCCCTCAAGACCTACGAAATCGACCTTAACGAATGCGGGCCCATGGTGTTGGACGCGTTGCTCAAGATTAAGAACGAACAGGACGCCACTCTCACTTTCAGAAGATCGTGCAGAGAAGGTATCTGTGGCTCGTGCGCCATGAACATCGGCGGTAGAAACACCTTGGCCTGTCTTTGCAAGATCGACAAGAACGACAAGTCCGACCTCAAGATCTACCCCTTGCCCCACATGTACGTGGTGAGAGACCTTGTTCCCGACTTGACCCACTTCTACCAACAATACAAGTCGATCCAGCCGTGGTTGCAAAGAAAGGACCACCCTGCCGATGGCCGGGAAAACTTGCAGCTGATCGCTGACAGAGCCAAGTTGGACGGGTTGTACGAATGTATTTTGTGTGCGTGCTGCTCGACCTCGTGTCCCTCGTACTGGTGGAACCAGGCCCAATACTTGGGGCCCGCCGTGTTGATGCAAGCCTACAGATGGATCATCGACTCGAGAGACCAGGCCACCAAGATGAGAAAGGAAATGTTGCAGAACTCGATGTCGTTGTACCGTTGCCACACCATCATGAACTGTACCAACACTTGCCCCAAGGGTCTTAACCCGGGTCGGGCGATTGCCGAAATCAAGAAGTCGATGGCTTTTGACTAAGCGCCACAGGGGGAGAAGCATTGGAGTTTACCGGAATTAAGCTCTTACTAACGTATATATTTATTAAATGAGAAAGAAAGTACCACCTGGTAGTGTTCGAGACCCTCCCCCCTTTCGCTGTCTCCGTTTGCCATGATGATCCATGCAGGACGTAGACACCTACGCTGCTATCACTGTTATTGAGAGACAGCCCCATTAGTCATTATCAAAGCGATGCATGGCAAAGCAAAGCTTCAATGCTGTGAAAATAATCGAACGTATCAGAGCAATTGACGTGGCGGGGGCCACAAAGGGTTCGGCTGGCTCAGAGTAGGCAATTGGCGGCGTTTTTTCTCTCTCACTGGTAGTGGGGAAGGGAGGGGAGTGGCGATTTACCTAATGGCCCGGGCAACGCTCCCAACAACAAATACCCCAGCTTCCCCGCGTGTGGGAGGTTTATCAACCATTAGCTGAGTACCCTCAAGTGGCTAGCAATTGACTAAATTGAGGGTCGTATAATTGTGTCAATTGGGATCAGCAGCAACTCACTATCCCAAAAGGCCACAAATCCACCGGGGGACATGTCTAGACCGCCCAGCACCACCACGGTCATGCTTGCCCATCAAGTAGCTGTACGTTAGCCATAGCCCCCTAAAAACCTTATGTTTGCAGCACTACAAATAGGGAGCCAACACTCCCTGGCGAAGACATTATTCGAAATCAATTGAGGATGGCTAAAGGTAAAGTGTTATTGGTTCTCTACGCCGGCGGCGAAGCTGCTAGGGAAGAGCCCCGGTTGTTGGGTGCCAGTGAAAACGAATTGGGCATCCGCAAGCTTGTGGAGGACGCTGGCTACGAGTTGGTGACCACCACCGATAAGGACCCCGAGCCGACGTCGACGGTGGACAAGGAGTTGACCGACACCGAGATCATCATCACCACCCCGTTCTACCCGGCCTACGTGACGGCGTCGAGAATTGCTAGGGCGCCCAAGCTTAAGGCGTGTATCACCGCTGGTGTCGGGTCGGACCACGTCGACTTGGACGCCGCCAACAAGCGGAAGATCGCCGTGCTTGAAGTCACCGGCTCTAACGTGCAATCGGTGGCCGAGCACGCGATGATGACGATCTTGGTGTTTATCAGAAACTTCCTTCCCTCCCACCAGATGGCCCTCGACGGCGGGTGGGACATCGCACGGTGTGCCCAGCACGAATACGACTTGGAGGGCAAGGTGGTGGCCACGGTGGGCGCGGGGAGAATCGGGTACCGCATCTTGGAGAGATTGGTGCCGTTCAACCCGAAGAAGTTGTTGTACTACGACTACCAGCCTCTCCCCCAACAGGCGGTCGACAAGTTGAACCAGGCGTCGAAGTTGTACAATGACGTCGACAAAATCGTCGAAAGAGTGGAAAGTTTGGAAGACATGGTCGCCCAAGCAGATATCGTCACCATCAACTGTCCCTTGCACGCCGGCACTAAGGGATTGTTCGACAAGAAGTTGATCTCTAAGATGAAGAAGACGGCCTACTTGGTCAACACTGCCCGCGGGGCCATCTGTGTGGCTGAGGACGTGGCGGAAGCGGTCAACAACGGCACCATTGCTGGTTACGGTGGTGACGTTTGGAACGTGCAACCGGCTCCCAAGGACCACCCGTGGCGTAAGATGCACAACTCGTGGAACGGGGGCAATGCCATGACGCCCCACATCTCGGGGACGTCGTTGGACGCTCAGAAGAGATATGCCGATGGCGTCAAGCAGATCTTGACGGCTTACTTCACCGGCAAGTTCGACTATCGTCCCCAGGACGTCATTGTCATCGACGGTCACTACGCCACCAAGGCCTACGGCCAGAAGAAGTAAAATCTTTAGATTTATACGTCTATCATATGTGCAGCTCCACTAACTTTTTGTTGTAGATACCGTAGATCGGTGCTCTATATCATAGTGCGCATCTTATCGCCGCCCTGAGATTATATGGAGCAGCTCACCGAGCTGTTTGGTCAGCTCAAGGTGGAAAAGAAGAAAAAGACCAATGCCTCGAACCAACCACAACTGCCAGAAGAGATAGGCTATTTCACTAAACTCCTGGATGGCACCATCGTTAAAGACTCGCGCGATGGCCTTCGCGAGCTAAGTCTCAAGGGAGTGGTGCACAAGGACCTAACTGAGGGACTCCGAAATTTCGTTCCCCAAACCAAAGACGAAATATATAGTCTTGATGACGTGCTTTCCGTCGTGGACAAGCCCGATCTGCTATCGGTGCTTTCCCAGCGGCGGTCGCTTGCTCGCATTATGAAGCTCCCCTTTGAACCCCATACTTCATTTCACGTCGTGTACTACAAGCACTACATCTTCATCGTGTGCAATGACGTGCTGGGAGTGGACATTGACCGTCGCCTTCAATATTCCGGTTTCAAATTCGAAGAGCTAGCCACTACTGCTAGGTCGGCGAGCGATCCTCAGGCGCGGTTCTACTCGGTGCTTCGCCAACGACTACCGGGAGCTACTGTGTACTATACGGCTGAAGTGGATGCCATCGACATCCACGACGACTACGTCGAGCTAAAGACCCACGCAAAGGTGCTGTCGCATCTTAGTTTGCAGCGTAAGCTACTCAGCACTTGGTGCCAAGTATACTTGGGGGCCACCGATAAGATCGTCATGGGCTACCGGTCCAAGACATTCAGAGTGGCTAATGTCCAGCGGATGAGTGAGCGTGACATCTACCAGTCATTTCAGAAGATGCCCTTGATGGACAAGCTGGGGGCTAAGATCACCCCGCAGACCCTCACCAAATTCTATGCTGAAGCTATGGCCTACATCGTCAAAGCTCATAAGGGAGGAGCCAAACCAAAACAGTTTGAGTTCAAATACCACCCAAGCGAACCCCGGGCAAAACAGTTTTCCTTAGAACCTATGGCATTAACCGTAAATATCTCTATGTACAAAGCGTGAGGGTTACCCCGTTTAACTCTCGTTGACGGCGTCCTGGATCAACAACTTTCTCGAGTGTGAGTTGAGCAAGTCAGTAAGATCGTTGTATGTGGTTGTCAGCGGGTCTGCCTTCATGACGTGCTTGTCCTTGAAGGTGACCTCGATGAGAGGCGCTTCTTTCAGCTGAGCGTTCAACACCCGGAGGTCGACTTTGGCCGAAGAAGGCACCCGGGAAAGGAACGACCGCGCCGACGCCGCCAGGGTACCGAAGGGATCGAATCTCACCGTGGCCTTGGTGATGTACTTGGTGATCAAGCTCATGGCGTCTTTGGTATCAAGGTGAAATTTTCCACTGCGAGCGCTACCATATCGCTTACCGTCTTGTGATCATACTACGGAAACCTTTAACATAGAATTCGGTAAAAGCCGTAGTATAACTATATCTTTTTTTTTTCTTTTCTTTTGACTGTTCCAATTTTTTTTGTCCTTCTTGAATAAGGTTACCAGTTTAGCGAAGCTCGGCTGTTATCGTCTTGATTACAGATCTCGGTCATACAGATCCGTATCTGGGGTTATGAATACACCAGCTCCCCCACATATATATTCTGATAGTTCTCCTGAACACCATAATCAAAACTCGGATCAGCAAAGGCCACTGGAGGTTGCCAAAGAAGCAAGATCTTCATTTTCGCGTCTAGCTAAAGCACTCCACATTTTGAGAACGCCGCTAATGTCAAGCGTCGAGCTTGTGACACTTGAGGAAGGAATCACCACCAGAGGATTACAGTCACGTTCCGACAACCAAAAGCCGCTCGCCGAACGGTGCTACGATCGGCGGGTTAATGACTCCCCTGATAACGCATCGAGAATCACTAGCGATACGCTAGACACTTCGGAGGAAGACGGCGACGATGCCCACGACGAATACCCTGAAGGTGGTTGGCAGGCATACCTAGTTGTGCTTGGGGCCTTCTTAGGCTGCTTGGTGAACCTAGGGGTGATCAACTCGATTGGTGCCGTACAAATGTGGGTACTGCAGCATCAGCTTGTCAAATACCTGGCGCTGACGATCTCGTGGGTGTTCTCCATTTACTTGGCGTTGTCGTACCTGTTGGCGGTTGTGTCGGGTCCGCTTTTCGACAGATACGGCCCTAGATGGGTCATGTGGACGTCGACGGCGTTGATTTTTTTGGGGATGATGCTGGTGGCCAATAGTGAGGAGATCTGGCAGTTCATCTTGGCGTTTATTGCTTTAGGGTTGGGTAACGGCCTTGGAATGAGCCCCAGTATTGGTATCATCACCCACTGGTTTATGAAGAAGCGGGGCCTAGTGCTTGGTATCGCTACCAGTGGCGGTTCCGTGGGTGGGTTGGCGTTCCCGTTGATGTTACGTTACGCTTACGCCAAGTACGGCTTCGTGTGGGCTATCCGGATCTTTGCCTTCACAACAGGCGGGTGTATGGTGATTGCTTCTTTGTTGTGCAAAGAGCGTTTCCGCTCAGCCAAGAAAGTCCATGATCCCAATCCGACACCATCGACGACGAAAGCCAACATGTTTCTGCTTGCTTCCATGAAACAGCTGATTGCTAACTTAAATTTGGACAGAAACTATTGCGTGCTCGTGGTCGCTGCCTTCTTCGGGGAGATCTCTCTTATCTTGATTGTCACATACTACGCAACATACAGTGTGGCCAAAGGTGTTTCTGAGTCCACAGCATTGCTCTTGTTGACAGTGTGGAACGCTGCCGGTATCCCCGGTAGATGGATCCCCGGGTGGTTGTCCGATTACATGGGTCGTTTTAATATGAACTTCTTGATGGTAGCGTTGTATGCCATTTTCATTTGGGTTTTATGGTTCCCCTTTGGCGGCCACTTGGGAGCTTTATACGCCTTTGCCGTGATGGGTGGGTTCTTTTCTGGATCCATCCTTTCATTGTTGCCTGCTTGTGTTTCGCAAATCACGCCGGTGAGAGATATTGGAAAGAAGTATGGCTTGATGAATGGTGTATTGTCGATTGCTAATTTGTTCGGTGTACCCATTGCATCTGCAATCATCCACAAAGGTACACTGCTGGACTATGACCACTTCGTGATCTTTGTGGCGTGCTTGGCCACTTGTGCTGCCATCTTTTGGGGCGTTGATCGTTGTCTTGTAGGGGGTATCAAGCCCACCACGAAAGTATAGACCCGTAAGTATATATGAGCGATATAATTAATGAATTGAAATGATTTTTATGCAATAAGTCACGAGTGTCGTGATCCTGTACATCAAACTAGACTTGGAAAGTCATCAAACCGCAAAAACCAAGTATAGCAACCATCTAACTACTAGTTAAATTGGGTTTTCAAGCGATATGTAAGTTTCATCACAATTAGACGACTTTGGCGAAAGCGAAAACTACCCTCTTCGGAATGAAACTCACAAAACCACATTTTCCACATTTTCGCATCGCGCCTTTATGGCCAAGTGGTAAGGCACCTCACTAGTAATGAGGAGATCGTCAGTTCGAATCTGGCTGAAGGCATTCTTTTTGTGGTTTTTTTTTGCTTGTCCCAACGTTAATCATTCAATTGGACATGAATGGGAACTACTCTAGACATAATTCGTTTCATAATATTCCATTAAAATTACCTAATATACACAATGTCATAACCGGATGCGCTGTTTAATCTTCTTCATCGAACTTAGGAGCCAAGTAGAATCTCAAGTAGCCACCGACATCCAACTTATATTCGAACAACGCCGGGGTTTTGTCGGCCAACTTGATCAGGATGGTCGAGGTCAACGAGGTGGCCTTGACGATATCGTTCAAGTATTTGAGACCGAAGGTCAAGTCGACGGGCGATTCCAAGTGGATGGCGACGGAGTCGTCGGGCGAGTCCATGTCAGTGTAGGGCTTGATGACGACGGAGGCGGTGCCCGACTCACCTTCGGCGTTGAACTTGACCGAGTCCTTAGTGACGACGATGTTCATCGATTCGGACAAGTTTTTGAGGTCTCTGACGATCTTGGCGAATTCGGCCGACAGCATGGTGATGACGGAGTCGTAGTCCATGTCGTCGATCTTCAAGAACTCCAGCTCGATATTCATCAATTTGAGGGAGAACTCGGAGATGCGTTCCTTCTTCTTGTCCTCGAAGATGGTCAACATCGAGTCGGGGGAGTCTTCGGCGAGAAGGGTGAGGTAGTCTTCGTTGTTGGCGGTCTTGATGATCTTGGAGAACAGTTCCAAGTCGACGCCTAAGGTGACGTCACGGTCACAGCGATATTCAGAGAATGCCGACTCGCCGACGAGCAACGACACCAACAACACTCTCGAGTCGTCCACCGCCTGGACGGTGATGCCGTGCTGGGTGCAATTGAAGTTGCAGAGCTTGACCGAGTCCTTGATCGACTCGACGATCTTCTTCAACAAGCTGGCTTGGTCGAACTTCCCTTCTAACATGTGTGGTTTGGTGGAAAAGGTGAGGTGGTGGAAAAACGGCAAACTTATAGCGGACGCGTGTAGGACGCGTCGGCGAAGCCTCGCCTGTGTGCAGGCGAGCATCGTCAAACGGCGAATGGCTGGCTGCGACCACTGGCCAGTTACCACGCTACCAATACGTCTAAACTACTAATATGTCTACGCTGATAGATCAAGAACCTAGTTTCGTTTGTGGATTATGCAATTTTGAAAGGTTTTCGTCGTAGTCATTTGGCTATTCTGGGTAGCCGGCGGGGGTTTCGATGGGGGGCAAGAACGCGATCCGGGTGTGGGCTTTATCGGTGAGTGGTAGAATTAAGCGGAAGGCGTCATGGGTGTTGAGGTAGTAGCGGTATAGGCGCTTAGTGCGGAGGAAGCCAAGCGACTCGTAGAGCCTAAGCGCGCCGGCGTTGATCACTTCCGTCTCCAACATGATCTCGTCGACGTTGTCCCATTCGACCATATTTTTCACCGTCATCTTGACGAGGTTGGAGGCGATGCCGCGCCCTCGATACTTGGGGTTGATGACGAGCATGCCGATGTAGCCGCGGAGGCGCACCTGGCGGTGGGGCTGGACCTTGGAGATGATGACGCCGATGATCTCGCCCGAGTCGGGGAGCTTGACGGTGTAGCAGTAGTGGGGCCACAGGTTGAGGAAGAACCAGTAGACGTAGATCGAGTACGGCTCCAGCAAGTGGTCGGCGATGAGGTTGGAGATCACCGAGAACTCGTCCTTGGACGAGCTGTCGAAGCGGTGGTACTCGAGCCCGTCGATGGTGGCGAGCTTGCCTGGGGGCGCCGGCATGGGGGTGATGGTACGGGGTGCGGGGGTCGGGGTTGACTGGGCGCGCCAACTTCGCACTCGCACTGGTTGCGAAAAAAAACCTTGTTGACTAGCGGTTGGTAGCGGCGGTAATCGCAGCGGCGGCGCCGCAAATTTGTGGTGAGGGTCGCGGTGAGCAGGGGGGAGGTGGCACCACCCACAACGAGGGTAGTGGTCACGAGGTAAAAGTAACGCGGGGGGAGGACGGCTATCACGGGTGAGGATCTGGGCGAGGCGTAGGCCTTCCCAGGGTTCTTGATCAGTAGTTTAAATATTTGTCGGCTAGTGGGGGCTTAGTCGCCACAATTGTCAGTGGAGCTGGCTTGGGCCTGGGGCGCATCGGTGGGAGGTGGCCTGTCACCTCTCCGTCGCCTACGGTGTTTAGCAGGCCGGTTACCTCATAGTGTGCGCGACCTGTCCGATCCGTGCGACCAGTGCTGAAAACCCCTCAGGGCCACGGAGAACGTTGCCACCGGGCCCAGGGTGACCACCCTACCTCAAAATATAGTATCTCTCACCACCGTCAGTATCACCAAATTCCCATACTGTAGAGTTTCCCTTAAAATCCGCGCGGTTTAGCCCCGGTTTCCCTCCCCGGTAAATCTCCGGCGCTGGCAGGCTCGCTCGCGAGCCGACCCTGTCGATATCGCACTCGAAAGCAAACGCCCCGAGACAGCGCCGCCGTTAACCCCAAGCATCATGAGTGCGCAGTCTCTGTCGTGGACCCTGTTTGTGAAGCTGATTGCCCTGTACAATGGGGACCTCTCGCTGCTTACCGCCCCGCCGTTCATCTTGCTGCCGGTGTCGCAGGTCGAGTACTCCCAGTACTGGGCGGAACACCCGCAGTTGTTGGTGGCGCCGACGAAGTTGACCACCGACGACGGGGCGCCCCGAGCGGAAGTTGACGCCATGGCGCTCAAACGGATGATCGCCGTCACCAAGTGGTTCATCTCGACGTTGCGCTCGCAGTACTGCCTGAGAAACGAGCTGATGGGGTCGGAAAAGAAGCCCCTCAACCCGTTTTTGGGCGAGGTGTTCGTCGGCCACTGGCAGGACGACGTCGGCGAAACGACGTTGCTTTCGGAGCAGGTGAGCCACCACCCGCCGATGACGGCGTACGCCATCAACAACGACGCCACCGACACCCATTTGCAGGGGTACAACCAGATCAAGGCGACGTTCTCGGCCACCAGCATCAACGTCAAGCAGTTTGGCCACGCGCTCTTGCGCTACGGCTCCCTCAACGAGGACTACCTCATCACGTTGCCCCCCTTGCACATCGAAGGGCTCTTGGTGGCGCTGCCGTTCGTCGAGCTTGAAGGCAAGCTGTACATCCAGTGCCTGAACGGGATGATTGCCGTGATTGAGTACTCCGGCCGTGGTTACGTCACTGGCAAAAAGAACACGTTCAAGGCGCGGATCTACCCCGACGTATTAAGCTCCAATAAAAAGGAAAAGGCGTTGGTCACCATCGGTGGCCAGTGGCTGGGCAAGCTGTACATTGCCAAGGGCCACTCGCTGCCCCTGCTGAAGGACGAGTTGTTCTACGACGCCAACGAGATCTCCCCCGAAAAATTGGCGGTGAAGCCGATTGAGAAACAGCACCCGTTAGAGCTGCGCAAAGCGTGGCAAAAAGTTGCCGAAGCCGTCAAAAAGGGCGACTTTGACTTGATCCACGAGGAGAAGCTGAAGATCGAAAACGAGCAGAGAGAGCTCCGCAAAGAGGAAGCGGCGCTGGGCAAACCCTGGCAACAGCGGTGGTTCAGCTTGGTCGACTACGACGCCGCCGACGCCCCCGAGGACCGGTTCTTGACGTTGTGCAACTTCGCCAACTTGCTGGCTAAGAACTGTCCCCTGGGGCTGCTCAAGGGGCTGAAACACGACTCCGGCGAAGCCAAGCACTGGCGGTTCGTGCCCCTGAAGTGGAAGGAGGAGAAGGAAATCACCCTTGTTTGACGTGTTTAGACAATAGATGACCATTACAGAAGATATCTCTCTATTTCTCTCGTTAAGGATGTACTTGCAAGCTAATGAGAGTAGTCCTAGAAGGATTCTAATAGGATATATATTTCGCATATCTGTTGGTTTCCTCCTGAAAAACCGTAGTGGAGTAGTATCATCGATCGACTCATAAGGTTCTGTTCTGAAAGAATTGACTATCAAGTAGTATATCAAAGAAAATCAATGGGGCGAATGGAGTTGAAACCCACGTTGGCCACTTTGTAGAATATCCTCCAAGCGGTAAATTAGTCAAGTTGTTGGTTTACACCCTATTTATGGTCCTGTCTGATAATTTTACGAATTTTCTCTCGATTCGTGGTTGAGCCATTAGGCACAAAATGAAGAGTAGATTTCGGAATGGTAGTCACCGTTGATGACACGTGGCAAACATCACAACTTAACTGATCACTGGTAATATTGGTAAATAGAGTTTATGACTGACGAGAGTACCTGTAGCATATACTGGAAGGGACCTCTATTGGCTTCAGCTGATATATAGTGGTAGCCATGGAACCTGGTGGAAACACGTGGTATAACCTATAGCAGATACACTGCTGGAGCAGAGACTAACTGGAAGTGGAGACGGCGATATTAAACACTACACACATCGCCATGAAAGCCCATATACTAATTTTTCACTTCGTCGACGATTGGTTGTAGTGAATGGTGAGGTGAGCGATGGCAAGGCAATCACCCTCAAACCACTAAAATTGAAATGAGTAGCATTGAAAGTCACAATATATATCCAATGATAATAGTGATTGCCTCAAACTGGGGTCATCTTCAGTAGTTGACCACGTTCTGGTGGGTCATTCTCTCTCACGTGATTAGGGTTACCACCCCTAGACGCACGCTCCTGCACCTCTCCACGACCGGCTCAGCGCCGGCGCCGCGAGCAAAAAAGATTTTTGCGGCGAGCAGTTCAGACCAAACCAGAGTTTTAAACAGCAATGGCCGAATCCCACAGATGTACGTTCCACGTCCTAATGAGCGGCTTACCCCAATGTCCGTGAACGGTGTTGGCTAGTGTGTTGTTGTGTTCGAGTAGGGGGCGTCGTTTTGACCCTCCGAGAGCCCGAATATCGACATTCCCTGACAACCACCAAATGGTGTCTTTCCAGGTGTAAAACACGCCAAGTGTGATTTGTGTGCCTTCTTCGAGGGATCAAATTATGACACTTGAGTTTTTCACTTGGAGACACCCAATACACGCGTCGTTGAGGTCAAGCGCTCTTTTTTCACATCGCGTTGTCGACAGCAGAATACTAACAAATATAGTGTACGTTAAGGGTAAGCACCTTTCCTACCAACGTTCGAAGAACGTCACCAACCCTAACGTCTCTTTGATCCAAATCGAGGGTGTCGCCAACCCCACCGACGCCAAGTTCTACTTGGGTAAGAGAATCGCCTACGTCTACAGAGCCTCGAAGGAAAAGAGAGGCTCGAAGATCAGAGTCATCTGGGGTAAGGTCACCAGAACCCACGGTAACAACGGTGTCGTCAGAGCCAACTTCGTCAAGAACTTGCCTCCCAAGACTTTCGGTGCCTCGGTGAGAGTTATGTTGTACCCTTCCAACATCTAAATAGTGTATTTTAATGCAAGGTAATGGATAGAAAAAAAAACGTGAACTAAGTGTAGCCCCACGGGGATCTCAGATCAACAGTGATCGGCACCTTTGACATTGTTATTGTCGGTAGTACTGTCGGAAGACTTCCGACACTGACGGCGCCGGCACGCGCTCGTATATGGCGAGTAGTCCTCGTAAACGGACCACCAAGGAAAAACCGCTCACATGTCTCACCTCGACGGCAACGACCCGATAGCCACCATCGCCATTTGCTGCCGCGATCCCCGGGGTTAATCCCATTGCCGTCGCTGGCCACAAAGCCGGAGGCGCGCCCGGCAGCCATTATGCTAGCAATAAAGGCGGGATTTTTAGGGGGACGAGCCAATTACGGGGCCCTGGCACTGGCCTCGGTAGCCACTAGCCGAGGCCAGCTCCATCTAGGTTGGGGTTGCTCACAGCGCTGGAAGCACGGGAAGCGCTGGTTACGGATATATAGCCCTGGCGGTTTAAGTTTGGCCTACGAGGGCTTAGTGGCGTAACAAAAGGCAGCTAACAACCACGTGAGTTACTTAGCCACCACAGGCCAGCACCTCACAACCACACCAGAATGAGAGAACCGCGTGTACACTAGAAGTGGACTAAGTATGGTAGTCTTTTAAGTTGTTAGTAGCTTGGTTCACGTGTACGTGTACGATTTACTTTGACAGTGGCTTCCGCTTGCTGTCGTGTGTGCCCTGGGCTATCGCAACCCTATATGGGGCTATATGCACCACGTTTCACCACAGCCGAGATCGCCAGGAGGAGGCGGTAATTACCCACAACCAGGGGAGAAACACGTCCCCAACCATGCCCAAACCGTAACTAATACCACTATAGATACACCTAGCATCGTGTTCTGTTCGATCTAATTTCCTCCCGTCCCCCACCATGGCACCACCCCCCGGGCCTGGTTGGGCTCGCCCTCAGGCGCCCCTCGCAGCTATCTGTGTACACCTCTGCCAAATCGAGAAAGCACCTATTTTTATCGCAGTTTTTCTTCGGGCCACATCCTCAGCCAGCGGTTTTTTTCTACCACCTGCAAACACCTCCACCCCCGAACCCATAGCGAGACCACCGGAGGAATGAGTGATCCGTTCGGGAACTTTCTGGACGACGATCTCTTTGACGAGACGACGCCCGTCGCCGACGACGCCGGCGCCGCAGGCGCCGCCGGTGCCGCCGCCGGCACCGCTACTGGCGCCGTCGCCAACGCCACGGGCACCGCTTCTGGCCGCCACAGCCGCCGGGCGCTGGCCCAGATGACGCCGCTGATGGCGATGCCCCAGTACGACCTGCTGAACCCGTTTGCCTACTCTCAGCAAAGAATGCCGCCGGGGATGGGCCAGGGTCTGTTTAGCCAGTACTCGCAGCCGTACCACCAGGCGCCGCCGCCAGGCATGGGCTACACTCCTAGTTTCGGCATGCTGCACCACGGACTGACCTACGGCATGGTGATGCCCAACGGCACCGGGGGAGCGATGCTGCTGCTCCACCTGATGGGGGCGCACCTGATGGGGGGCATGCCTCCCCAGGGTACGGGCGAACCCCGCAAGAAAGGGGTGCTGTTCCAAGAAGAGCCGGTGTACCCGCAACTGATCTACCACCCGCAGTTCCCTCAGCAGCAGTTGATGGACGAGATCAACCAATACGAGCTCGAGCGGTTTGATACTTACGACACCAACGGCAACCCCAACCCCAACTTGCGCCACCTGGAGTACATGCGCCCTTATTCGCTGATGATGACATTTACTGGGGATGACTACATGATTAACCCGTTACAGGACGCCGACGACGACGACAACTTGGACCCTTTCGGCGACGACGACTCGTTGTTCTCGGAAACTGGCGAGGAGATTGTCCGTCGCGGTAACACCATCAAGCGCTCGGGAACTGTCGGCCGTAAAGGTACCTTACGCTCGCGTAAGGACGGTACCTACTACCAGGACGACTTCGACAACTTTGAGCCCCGGCTTAACTACACCAAGACCATCAAGAAGGCGCGGTTGGTCAACGGTAATTACGTCATCGACGCCCCCGTGCCCAAGGCGTTGCTCGACACTTTCGGCAAGAAGATCACCGACGGTGGGCGGGAAATGCTGTACATGCGTTACACCGGTGTCACCTGCGGTCCTCTGAACTTCATCCACTATAACTACTCGTTGCGGCAAGAGTTGTACCTGCCGCCGAGAGAGACGGAAATCTTTGTTGTGATTACCATGTATAACGAAGACGAAGTGTTGCTTGGGCGTACTCTTTTGGGTGTAATGGAAAACATCAAGAACCTCACCAACCGGGCCGACCCCGTGTGGGGTGAGGACTCGTGGAAGAAAGTGGTGGTGTGCATTGTTGGTGACGGTCGTGTCGAGTTCAACAAGCGGGCCGAAGCCTTGCTCACCGCGTTGGGTTTGTTCCAAGAAGGGTATGCTAAGTCTAAGGTTAACAACCGCCAGGTCAAGGCCCACTTGTACGAGTACACCACCACCGTGGGCATCGACGCCGTCAACGAACGTGTGCACTTGAACAACAACCTGACCCCCGTCCAGTTGATGTTCTGCTTGAAGGAACGCAACTCGCGGAAGATTAACTCGCACAGATGGGCGTTCCAGGCGTTCTGCCCCATCATCAACCCTAGAGTAATCATGTTGTTGGATTGTGGTACCAAGCCGGCGAAGGACGCGTTCTTCTACCTCTGGCGGTCGTTCCGTGACCCGAACGTCGCCGGGGCGTGTGGGGAAATGCAGGCCGCCTTGGGGCCGGGGAGAAAGTTGCTTGCCAACCCCCTCGTGGCAGCGCAAAACTTTGAGTATAAGATTTCCAACATCTTGGATAAGCCTATGGAGTCGGTGTTTGGCTTCATTTCGGTGTTGCCTGGTGCGTTCTCGGCTTACCGCTGGGACGCTCTTTTGAACGTTAACGGTGAAGGTCCTCTTGAAAAGTACTTTAAGGGTGAATACTTGCACCAAGCCACCCAGGTGGCCCCTCTCAAGGAGAAGAAGACGAAGGATGACGACGAGCTGGGCACGTCGAAGGACACTCAGGACGGGTTGTTTGACGACGAGGCGCTGAAGGCCCCTCCCAAATTTGAAGACCAACAGCACGGTGTCGAGTGGCACGACGACGAAGACGACGAGCGCGCGGTCAAGGAACGGAACTTCCAGGAAGCAGGCATCTTCACCTCCAATATGTATTTGGCCGAAGATAGAATTCTTTGTTTTGAGTTGGTGGCGAAGAAGGACCATCACTACATTTTGAAATACATTAACGAGGCCAAGGCCGAGACTGATGTCCCCGAACAGATCGACGACTTCGTGTTGCAACGTCGTCGTTGGCTTAACGGGTCGTTGTTCGCCGCCTCGTACGCCGTGTTCCACTGGACGAAGATCTGGAAATCGAAGCACTCGCTTTTTCGTAAGATGTGGTTGCAACTCGAATTCTACTACCAGTTGGTCACGATCACGGTGTCGTGGTTCTCCATTGCTTCTTTCTTCCTTGTATTCAGAATCTTGACGGTGAACTTGGGTGCTGATGACATGAACTTCAGCGCCGGTAAGTATATCGCCGTGGTGTTGTTTTGGTTCTATATTGCTGCAGTCGTAACATCGTTCGTGTTGGCGTTTGGTAACACCCCTCGGGCGACGAAACGGATATACCAGTTGATCGCAATATGTTTCGCCGTGCTTATGGCGTACATGATGTTTGCTGCTATCTATCTTGCCGTGAAGACTGTCATCGGCGTGCTTAAAGATTACGACGGCAAGTTCGTTGGGGAGATGTTGTTCACCAACTACAAGTTCCGGGATCTTTTGCTTTCAACGGTATCGACGTACGTGCTTTACTTTGTTGGTGCCATCTTGTACGGGGAGCCATCGTTCATGTTCACGTCGTTCATCCAGTATGTGTTGTTGTCGCCCACTTACGTCAACGTGTTGACGATTTACGCCTTCTCCAATATCCATGATGTCTCGTGGGGTACCAGAGACCAGGCGACGGCGAAGAACCTCGGTTCGGCCAAGACTACCGGTGAAAACAACGACTTGGTGATGATTGTCCCCGGGGTGTCGGAAGAATTAAACGAACTGTACATGAACACTCTTGAAGAGTTGCGTGAAGTTCCGCCCCATGTCGAACAGGTGGTCGACAAGAAGAAGCGCGACGACGCCTACTACGCGTTCGTGCGGACGATGACGGTGTTGGTGTGGATGCTCACCAACGGTATCTTGATTGCCATTGTGTTGCGGACGGCCGGGGTCGACGTGTTCTACGGTACCGCCACCACGCTCAACAAGGACGGTTCGTTGGGTGGGAACACCACCGTGTTCTTGACGGTCATTTTGTGGATTGTCGCCGGGTTGGCCGCGTTCAGATTCATCGGGTGTGTGTTGTACTTGCTCATCAAGATCTTCCGCCCCATCACATGGAAATGGATCGCCCGCCGGGAAATGAAGCGGGCGATGAAGGCAGAAAGCCACCGGGCGTTGGAGCAGGAACAGGAATAAAATGGACATATTTGGTTATATACGGTTAGAATAATATATGAATTCAACAGGTTCAAGGATGGGTCCAACAATTTTAGAGGCTGTGCTAGAATTCCCGGAGATGTCTCCCCGCCTGTAAACTCCATATATGTCCACTATATCCTTGTTTGTGTACGAGAAATGTCGCCCACAGTTTGAGCACCAAAACGCAATTATTGCGACCCTCGGGGCTTATTAGTTTCGACGTAGAAATGGACCAGCGAAAAATGTCTCGAACATGCCACAAACGCCTTTCCCCGATAAAGGTGCACTGCAGTTAGCAGTGGTGCATTGCATGCTTTGTGGAGGTTTCTAGCAAGGGAAATTCGTTATGGCTCAAATTTAAGGGGGAAATTTTGCCGAGGCAAGGACATAGCAATGGCAAAATAATGCCGTTGGTTGCTCCTGTAATGTGCCAACAGCCCGTCGGACCATCCCGGTATTATTGTCATATTGATTTTTGCTTATTTTCTGTCGGGACGTAGTAGGAAGGTAGGGTATTTTCACGGAGATCAAAGTCCTTAAGTAGACATTTCTGGCTCGGACGAGGGGGTGACTTGAAAATTTGACCATTCTGTTACCTCGGGAACCCAAAAGAACACGTTACATCGTCGAGTTTGTGGTTGATTCAACTTCTGGATACGAATATTAATCGTTCGAGGTTGACGTACGTCTTTCAAAATCAGGGAGAAGGTTTTTTGCCGTGTCAACTTTCAGCAACCAGTGGAAAAGGGACTCCAAATTGCAAAATGTATTATACGTTGAATTCAATCGATGAATGATTGCACTGATCCCCGGTGGTGACTAATCTGTGGAAATCTCGATAGTGATCAACAACGGCAGTGTCCAAAAAATCCAATAATGTCTTACTTTGAAGAAATTCTTTTCAAGAAGAACCAACAACCAAATTCTAAAGTCGAAGACGTTCCATGATGTCTTCCATGGCCTGACTATTTAACCACTAGACCATAAGGATGGAAATTTAGGAACGAGCGGTCAGTTATATATGCCGTTCGATCAAGCAAAATCATTCTGAGAGACCAAACATATGCTTTCTTGACGGGAAGGTAAGCAATTTTGGTTACAACTCATTAAATGTCTGGAAATAGGCTTGGGTGAGCCCACAAGTGACCACAGAGCTGATGCCCCTATAATTTCCCCTTTGACGTTGGACAAAAAAAGTTCCCAACAATATCAACGAGTTATTGCAAACGTTTCCATTTCGAGAGCTGAAAATCCATCGAAATTAACGGTAAAACTCGGGGAAATCATGATGACTTGAACTCTAGGGTGATACTAATAAAATTGTTGCGGAGAGGCGGGGGATGACCAAACTTGCAACGATGGACGGAGTTCCGTGATGTTCTTGGCCACCGCATCTTACATGACGTCCGAACCTTGCTGATACCTAACGTTCTTTTCAGATTGTGAATCTACGGCTTCTACCGAGACGATCTCGTGCTACATACACAAGCCGTTAGAGGGCAGAGATCCTCTATTTCAATGGAGTCGTTGGTAGCTACCAACTGACTGAAAATGAATGTCATGCTTGCGCAAGTCTCATGTCCGTCAACGCAACATGCGGAAGTAAGTATAGTTGGAATTTGGATTTTCTTGGATCGGTCATTGGATATAACTCGATGATAACTACATTACTGTCTTAGCACCAATGGCGGAACTGATTCCGTTCTATTGTTGGGTTGGTGTTTAGGGAAACACCTGCAGAATACATTACTACAACCGATCATGAAATCCGCGTGCATTTGAGACAATCAACGGTCATTTATCAAGGTTTGATACAACAAGTATGAAGGAATGAGCTTAACCAGTGAAATTACAAGCCTATTTGACTATTTGGTTAATTAAAATTTTACTACTTCTTCATTTGGTGTCAAATGGGCGATTACTCCGATACATGAGGGATATTGTGAACATGGAAATGACCTAACAAAATTTCAAACTACCATTGAATGAACGCCATACCGACGGAATATGGTAAGAATGAGTGTCTAAACATTGTTGGTTATTTTTGGTCGTTTTGTCTGGTTCTTCACCATAATTTCCTTCTTCGCTCTCGATAGATTCCAGAGAATAAGTGGAAAACAGCCTGATGTGACGGTGAAACTTTCAAAGAAGATGAACTTTAAAAAGGTTTCGAGAACACTGGCGATGATTTGTGAAATGGTGAATTTTCTGCTCGACTGACACGGGTACTAGTGGCGCTGTACCTCAAATGTGAACTTACTTGAAATGAAGAAATGAAAAATCAGTGTACAACATGTTGAATGAATTACACCAAAGGTTGGTTGAAGGTTTATCAAGATATCAGAGTAACCAGGCTGTCAAATTGGAAGCATCCTATTGTCATGAACGCTGGAAAGTTACCATTATGAAGATAAATACGCTTTGATTCTAGTTAATGAAAACAGCAAAATTGCTTTAATTGACACTGCCCATAAATGCCTAAGCCGTAGTTTTTTATTAAGTTGAAAACACGTTACACCTTTAATTTTAATCCGTGTAATTCTCAGCTACCCTCCTTCTTAAATCATGTTAACGGGGAAATTTGTTTCGGCCAATTCCAAGAAAAACCCCGGGTGCATTGGAATGTTATCACTGTGTTTCGTAGTTATAGTCCAAGGAGGATCGGTGTGCTGTGAGCTGCCGCACGTCCAGTTCGAGCAGGTTACTGCGTATTTTTGTTTTCGGAATATCACAGCTGTGATTTAAGCGACGAGCATGGAGCACGCAGATTAAAATTGGGCCGTCTCCATGAGAAGGGGGGCTTAGCTGGAGCCATTCTTGAGCGGGAAGGCAACAAAGACTGCTTCTGACACTTAGTGACCCGACTTCTAAAAATTCCGCAAATTTTTCCGCCGAGTTTATCCAATTACTGAGGTGATTATAGAGCCAAACAATAGAGTGCCATTGGCAGAGTCGGCAGCTGCCACGTGACTGCTGCACAGCCGCAAGTTTGGTGCCACTTTACGCAAGTGTCCCTGCAACCTCCACAGGTAGCGGGCTGGTGTCGAAAAAAATACGGACATTGTCGATAATGCCATGTGACCCCGAGCGACGCGTTGTTGGGGGGAAGGCCTACCCGCGAAGCGTGAGTATAACCCCGATTCTAGCATGGAGCCGTCGTCACTTTTGCCCCCAATACGCGATCGAGGTGAGACAACGAGTGGGGGACGCACCCGCCCTCAGCGCCTACACAGAGGTACACAAAGGTGTGCACCGGGTGCACGGCATTGTGCGGGCACCGAGCATCAGGCTTGACGTTGGCAAACGGTGCAGCAAGTGAGGCTGGCGGCGTCGGAGTTCCGCCATCGATATGGGGAGGGGTCCAGAGCAAGTAGGAAGATGCTTCCGACAGCAACTAAGTGAATTGGTCCCCATGGACGAAGTGATAAAAGTGGGGAAACGCGTGTGACAAAGCCACACCAGTTAGTGTCTGCCACCTACCGTTCTGGAGGGTGGGAAATAATCAACGGGATTATTGCATGCCTGGCGACGGGTATCTGCCTGGGCGGGGGTTTTTCATTGGTTGGCGACGAGGGGCACCGCCCGCAATTTATTTTACGTCGATTGCTCAGTGGCCGGCGTGGCTTGCGTGACGTATGTGCCCTCATCGCAAACTGCCTCACGTGGGGGAGGGGGGGCGACACGCTGCTGGCGACACCTGGATCGGGCTTACCCGGCCGGCGGTAACCCCGACGGGATTTGTCACGGATATAGTCACGAAATTTTTTCTGTCACAGATAGGGGGTGACCCTAATTTTGACACTTGGTGCGTACAACGTAAACGTCAACCCGCGAGTCCGCCTTAACCCTGCACTAGCCTCAGGCAGCGGACGCCGGCGGCGCTTCCGGGGGCCAGCACTGGCGCTGCCGCCGCCCTGCTTTTCAGTAGAAAAAAAGGCTTGGGGGGTAGCATTTCCTGATACGGCGATAGACACAATCTCGGGCAACCCCCCGCTAGCCAGGGCCAGGGTGATATCTCCGGTGGGGGCTACGTGTTTTTTCGTAGTATAGTGGGCGGGGCGATGCCGATACGGCAATGGTACATGGGATTTATCGGTATAAACCCTTTTTCTACAGAACGGGGAATAAAGCCTGACGGGGAAAGGCAGGGAATTTAGCCGGAAGGTAGAGCGTTTTAGTAAAACCGGCAGGTGGGAAAAAGCAACTAACGATGAAGGGGCCAATACGGCCACAAACGTGACGGTTTTTAGGGATCGTGGAAACTACGAGATGAGGGAGAAGTCGATCAACGACCTATGTTTTGATGGGGGCTGGCTGGCGGGTAGCGGTATCGCTCGGCTCGGGCAATAAACCCACGCCTCACGTGACCTCAGGCACGTTCCTGCATCCATGCTCATTCCCTAACCTTCGGGTTAAGGCTGCATTTCATGGGGCGCATCGCGCCGGCGATATTATGTCGCGGGGGAAAATTATCGCCGCGAGTGATTATTTTCTCAGTGCGCGGGGCCGGCGGTGACGTAGGGCCAACGGTATATAGCGCCAGCGCCAGCGCCCTCAGCCGCCGCCGGATTGCGCCCCCGCCTGCTCACGACGACAACAACTCACCACCCGAGGTGGATGAATGAGTGAGCCTAAAACGAAGAGAAAGCGCCGCAGCTACAGCTGCGGCCCCTGCAAACTCCTAAAAATCAAGTGCGATCTCCAAGTGCCCGTGTGCTCGCTGTGTGTCAAGTTCAAGCGCCATGACAAGTGTCTCATGGACCCAGCCCACCCGCCATCGCGGGAGGAGCTCACCAAGATCCAGGAGCGCAAGAAACGCACCATCATTAAGAAGCTCCGCCAGTCACTGGGGGCGCTGGCGCTGGCGCCGGGGCTGTTGCCGGTGTTCGACCCTAATGTGGTCGGCGACAAAGGCAACGTGTTCCGCCGCTTAGCGCCGTTGGCGCCGCCACTACTGCTTGGTCGAGTTCCGCTGCTGCTGATACCACCCCCTATTCACTCGTTGCCAGCGCCCACTAACATAGCGCCGCCGCCGCCGCCACCGCCAGCGAATTTAACCGACGCGTCGCTGGCGCCCCCGAGCGCCTCCCCGGCGGCGCCGCTGCTATCGCTTCCCGCCCCGACTACGGGCGCCACTCCAATGCCCCTGGCGCCGCCGCCGCCGCCGCCGCCCCACCTGGAGGCAGACGCACTGGCGCCGCTGGCGCCGCTGGCGACCACCACCATCGACATGCTGATCACCGAGCTCAAAAAGGTGAAGCGCCTTCTCCCACGGCTGTGGCACCTCGTCGAGGGCCTCGTCGCCTTATTCTATCGCGCCTGCCACCCTCTCGTGGCTCAGGTGATGCCACCGGCGCGTGTCCTCGGCGACCTCCACCGCGCCTACCATAAGCTCACGGAGATGCTGCCGTCGCTCCTCGACCGCCCCGTCTCCTACTTAGCCAACGTGATGCAGCTGGTGCTGTTGACGGACGGCGACATCCGCGGGCTCCTGCTTTTGCTCCTGATGATGCTGACGGGCCTAATGTTTGCCAAGCTTAGCCTGATGCCCGAGCTCTCAGCCATCCTGAGCCACTTGTTCGACGCGATCCTGTTTAAGCCTCACGGCGACATCATCGACGACTGGATGCTGATGCTGCGCCAGCTCTACCAGCGGCTGGTGCGTTACGCGCTGCTCGACGACATCACCTTCCTCATCGAGTGGTACCTCGTGGTGCTGACGTTCTGCGACCACCATTTAGATATTGTCAAGCACTACCTCGAGTTCAACACGGTGTTAATGTACGGCGCCCTCAACCGCGACTTCATCGCCGCCATCAGCGACAACGAGCACATTGGCGACGCCAATTCCCCCGTGGTCAACCGCATCAACCATTACTGGATCCAGCTCAAGCTCTGCGAGATCGACTGCCTGTTCTTCGTCGACAAGGGGCTGCTTTTGCAAGGGGCGCAGTACGCCCACGGCAACATCCCCAGTTTCGAATTCATGGAGCGCCTCTACGGCGGCGCCGGCTTCCCCGAGTTGCCCGTTGACGAGGTGAAGACGCTGCTCTTTGTGTGGGGTAAATACTACCTGCGCAAGCTCGAGATACGCGACCTCCACGAGTTCATCGTGTCCTACCTTCTGCTCTACGCCGACATGGCTCAGTTCACCCAGGAGGCAGTGGCGCTGTGGCCACAAGACGCCGCCGCACAGTGGACGGCGGCGGTGCGGGCGCTGCTGGCGTACTTCCTCTGCGTGCGCTGGCTCACGTTCGTGCGCCTCGAGCAAGGCTACTTCCCCTCGCTCCGGTTCGCCATCTACACGATGGCGATGGTGTGCCAGTTCAACCCCGTGTTGCGGTTGATGGACGAGCACCCCGATTTCCTCGCGCACCTGCTCCCCGAGGCCAACGTGCACCACTTTAGGTGGGTGTACGTGTTGTTCATCTACCTGCTGGTGTTTTTGGCGGTGTTGGCGCTGTTCCGCCAGCGCACGGGAGCGCTTCTGCCCCTGCGGGTGTACGACACTGTCCGCGCCAAATTTGACCGGGTGTGGCGCCAGTTCCACTCGTTGGAGGCGCTTCGCAGCGTGCCCAAGTACGCCGACTGCCTCGAGATCTCCCAGCTCTGGGCCCAACTCGGCGCCCTAGCGCTGCTGCGCGACCTTATCGCGGCGCTCCAACGGGCGCTTGGCGCCGACCGCAGCAGCCGCGCCGTCAATTACTTCTTCGGCCTGGAACATAACTTGGGCGCCTACGTCGACACGTTGTGGGAGTTGATGGACGACATGTGTAGAGCCACCGAGCCTCTCACCGTGGTGCGGGGGATCGTCGTCAACGACGACATGCTCGAGACGTATGGGCTGCGCCTCGAAGGGTTCCAGTTCGACAAGGACGACGTGATTGAATTTATAGACGCCCACAGCACTACGTAATTAATTGCACTTCGTCTTTATACTATGCCTAGGTTTCAGAATTGGTTACAGAAATTGGTTTCAATAATGGTGTCATCCCTGTGTCGTCCTGGCGCCCCCACTGCGGATTTTTTGTCCGTATTCAGTACCGACAACTAACAGACCAGGGCTCGCAACTTTAAGGTGGGGTTACACAATCGGCACGCTAATTCCGCCTGGAACCCCCAACATCGGGTTTGCTACGGTACGCTGCACCCGACGGCCCCAAAAACATCCCCCATGACCTGATGCCGTGCCAACGGTCGTTTCAGGCTCACACCACCGCCTCCAATCCCGGCTGGGCCGGATTTAGCAGCCCCCTCATGTCAAACAACGAAAGAGTTTCACGTCGCCGCCCGCTGCCGGCCAGCGTGATTCAGGGTGCCTTTTTTTTTTTTTTTTTTTTTTTAGCCGTCAAACGCTAGGTAAACGATCCCCGCTGTGAATAGCTGTAACGGGTTGCAGAGAGCTAGACTACACGATGAGCTTAAAGTTTAGTCCACGCCAAGCGTTTGCCACTCGGGATCATTTTTCCGAGGCGAGACGCCACCCCAGTATCCGCTGATGGTAAGATTATTGGTCTGGGCGGCTCCTCGGGTTTAGGCAAAATCGCCGCGGACATTCCCGATACGGCATGGTAGCGCGCGAATAAAAAATCTAACGCGCGAATTTCTTGGCACCTTTTTTATTTTGTTTCAACATCTCTGTCGACGACGTGCGGGCGTGTCCTACTCAATTTTTCCTTCGATCGCCATCTCAACACTAGTAGCGTGCTCACACCACACGCGTCTTGAAAAAAGCAGCCCTACGCGTCTGCGAACCCTTTTATGGATGACAACTCTATCATCGTGTACGTGTCCTTTAGACCTATGATCCATATAAAATGAGCAGTGTTACTAACAGGTTTCTAGCCTCTCTGAGGACGAGCTGATCGCGCCCGATGTTAGTGTTGTTATCGTGGATAGCTCGCCGCGCGCTATAACCACTGACCCCGCCACCACAGCTCTTAGCCCACCACTGGTGCTAGCGCCAGCACCCGCTACCTCTCCTATTGCTGTTGAACCACTTCTGCTGAGCCAACCGACTACTTTAGCCACCCCAGCTACTAGGGAAACACCGACTCGTCCAGCGACATCGACGGTGGAGACGATCGCGCGGCTTTTGGCGGAGCTCGACTCTGATGATGATGATAACCGCGTCTTCGCCCAAGTGCCAGCAACCCCGTCGCCACCAAAGGCATCAACAACTACAAGCAAATCAATCACTGCTGATAATAATGATACCACTAATGATACCATCAAACGAGTAAAGGCTGCCACTATCACCACCAGAACGAGGGCTCCCAAACGAAGGGCACCCACCACGCCACCTCGAAAGCGCCCAACGCTTCTGTCATCGCCACCGGCGCCAGCTGTATTCACCGACCCTATCAGTTCGCTGCCAACACCATTACCGCCACCGCTAACACCTCCAACCACAGCAGCAGCCACCGTCGCACCAGCACCACTACTGCCGTACTCAGGGCCAGGCGCCGAATACGTTCTTGCCCACCCTACCCCGGCTCAATTGCAAGAGGCCAACCGCATTTCCCGGCTGAAGGAAGAGCTTTTGGGGCAAATGACGCTCTACTTCCCCCATAGCGTGTACAACGGCTTCGACAAGCCAGCTCTAGCTCACCACTTCCCCGGCGACCGTATGGCTACCTATACTTGTGAGCTTCCGCTCCTCTACTGGCGGCGTCGTGCCAAATGCGTATGGGACGAGCGCCGGCGCCAGTTTCTCGCGTGTCGCCCGTTTGACATCGATGAGCTGGTAGCGGTATTGTTTTACAATGCCGACGACTTTGTCGACAAATTGACCACCGATACATTACAAGACGACGTCACTGCCGCCAAACAAACATACCCCGAGCTCATCGTGTTTGTCGAAGGGCTCGACCTCATCTACCGTCGCATCCGCAAGCTCGTCAATGCCCACCACCGCGCCGACATGCTTGATAAAATGGGCGAAAAGAGCACTCGCCCCAAAGAACCCATACCCAGTTATACCGTCGACGACATCGTCCACAAAATTAATGCTCTCCAACACCACCACCGCGTCAACGTGTTCAGTGTCAATTCCCACCAAGAGGTCGGCGAGTGGTTAGCACTTCTCACCGTGTGTGTCGCCGAGCGCTACTACGGCGCCAGTAAAGACCCCCGTGGCGGCGCCCACGTCAAGCTGGGCAGTGACAGCGAGCTGACGTTCGTGCTGGCGATGATGCAGTTCCGCATGGTCACCCGCAAAAAGGCACAGCTGCTCTACCTGGCGTTCCCGCTGCTCCAGAAGGTCTACGACCAGCTACGCATTCACGGGTCGATCGGCGTTGACAGCGAAGACAAAAACATTGTGCCGCCGAGTGTCGACCGCATGATGCTTAAGTTCTTTACTGCTGATGACCCGTCAACGCCCGTGATGGAGTAACCCATTGGATCCTGACTAAATCGTGATCTCTCTAAATCAGAGTGACGTGTCTCCATCTTCCTATATTACGTGGTTTTGGCGACAATGTCGGCTCAATTGTTCGCTGAATCACTCGGGTTTATTCTCACACCGCCTCGGAGGTAGCAGCAGCAGCGCGGGGGTGTTGTACTTAGGCGGCGCGCACCGAGCCCGAGGCAACTTCCGCAGTCCCCGGTGCAGAGTAGGTTCTCGGAAAAAAAGAAATGAGAAAACACTTGGCCCGCTTAGGCCAAAAAGTACTCTCTTGAATTGCTTAGAGTTTATCGGAAGATGGTTCCGATACGGCACGTGCCCGCCGCCGAGCCTTTCACAAGAATAATAAAGCATACATCCCTGCCGCCATTGTCCCGCCTCTGACCATCTCTGCTCCCTCTGCATCAACACCCGCCATGTTTATCCCTGTCTGTTTATTTTCCCGTCCTCAGCCTCATCCCCCGCCAAGGGTATATATGCTCCTGGCTCATCGGGAAAACTAATTGTTGGCCTATATGCACCACCCGTAATCCCAGCCGCACCCCGTCCTTAAAGACCATCACACCTCCCCCGTATTCTCGTGGCCATGGCCATGCTGACGCTCTGGAAACGCCTAGGCCGTCCCGGATACGGGATCGTCCACGACATCCGCAACCGGCTACCGTACCTAAAGCTGGACTATACCGACGCCTGGAACTACCGCGTGGTGGCGCTGACCACGTTCTTGCTCTTTGCCAACATCCTCCCAGAACTCTCGTTCCTGTTGGACCAGTTCGTCGGCACCAACAATTCCTACGGGCTTAATGAAGTGCTCATGCTGAGTGCTATTGGCGGGTGTGCTTTTGGTCTCTTCAGTGGCCAGCCGCTAAATGTGGTCGGGGTCACAGGGCCAGTCTCAGTGATTCTGACAACGATCTATGACCTTGTACATCCTATGGGAACTCCATTTCTTCAGTTCATGTGCTGGGTGTACCTCTGGCTGGCTTTATTCCACTGGATCATTGCATTCTTTAATGGTGTGAAGTGGTTAGGTATTGTCACTCTGTACCTGTGCAACTCGTTTGGCTTTTTCATCAATTTTGTGTATCTCACCAAAGCCATTCAAATCTTAAGCGACCAGTTCCATGTGCTGGTGGCGCTGGGGTTCGCCCTGGTGGTGGTGCTGTTGCTCATGGTGTTCTTTGGAGTGGGAGCTCACCTATTCGGTAGCTCCACCCATTTCCTCAGACCGTGGATGCGCAAGATCTTCTTGGACTACGGCACCCCCGCGGCAGTGGTGTTTTTCACTGGTTTTGTCCACTTTGGAGGTTACCTTAATAACGTCAAATTCCAAAACCTCCCTACTACCACCAGTTTCCAGCCCACCGATAAAGTCAATAGACCTCACGGATGGTTTATCCACTTCTGGGAAGGGGTTACCGTGGGCGACGTGTTTTTGGCAGTTCCGTTCGCATTATTGGTGACGTTCTTATTCTACTTTGACCACAACGTCAGTGCCATCATGTCGCAACCCCTCAAATACCCCTTAAAGAAACCAGCCCTGTTCCACTGGGACTTCGCCTTACTTGGCATCACCACCGGCGTGTGTGGCCTTATCGGCATCCCCGCATGTAACGCCTTGGTACCGCAACTGCCGTTGCACACCGAGTCGTTGGCAGTGTATAACGACGACGGCGAGATTGTCGACGTCGTCGAGCAAAGAGTGAGCAACACGGCACAGGGAGCTATCACTTTCTTCCTCATGCTGGGCCCCATGCTCGTGGTGCTTGGCCTCGTGCCCCAAGCAGTGCTTGCGGGCCTTTTCTTCGTCATGGGTATTATCGGTATTCACGAGCTGATCGTTACTGATAAGATCCGCTACATCTTTACACAAAAGCAGTTCAAGGCGCGTGACTTCCCCATGATCGACCACGCGGTGTCGCAGTTGCTGGACTACCGGTGGTTCCTCCTCTACGTGGTGCTTGAAGCACTTATGGGGCTTGCCGAATACGCGATCACCGTTACCCCAGGGGCTATCGGATTTCCCTTAGTGCTTTTGGTATCGTTAGTGCTCGCACGGTGGGTGTGGCCGCGTATCTTCAATCCCAGTGACTTGGCCGTTTTAGATGGGCCCGTGTGCGATCCCGCGATCATGCGGGCGCTCAAGTTGAAGCAGGAATCCGACGAGAGCGAGCTGGACATGGAGTTGGTGCTGGCGGAGCTGGCGCCGCTGGTGGAGGGACTCAAACACCGCAAGCGAGAAGTGGAGACAAAGGTGTAATTCCCTCGATATAGTAATCCTAATGTATCCATTCAGTTAACCTACGATGTAGGGATCTCTATCAAGCTCACACTGATAATATCGCTTGAAATACCAGCGTATATTGATTGCGAATAGGTGCCTATGACTTTGGCATCAGAATAGCCCTACCGCAAAGAAAGAAACCAACTGCGGTACTTCTAGAGCCACACAAGATTACCTAAGTTCTCAAGGCCAAGCTTGACCGAGTACACAGCAATGGCAGTAGCGACAAGCATCAACGCCGCGTCAATGGATCGTAGAGCCGTTGTCACCGATGGCAGTAAAGCTGGGGATGGTACACTCACGGTACTTTGTGGCTTGGTGACATCCTTGTCGACCGTAGTTATCGTTTGTCCATTGGATAGCGGTGTGGGTAGCTCAGCGTTGACTTTGACCAATTGCTCTGATTCAGCAGACCCCACAGGTTCCTCTGGTTTGAGTGTCTCTCTCGTTGACGACTCCAGCTTAATGGTATCCGATTCTTCGAGACCAGGGGAATGGACCACCACATAGGACTCTTCCATAGTGCTGATAATCTTGAATCATTCAGAACCGTTATAAGCTTTTGAGATAATTGCTAATGCCACTATTACTTCCCATTTCGAAGATGGTGATTAAGCAAACCTAATGAATGAGGAAAGTGTCAAGAACAACAGTTACTCGAATATTTCCATTGTAATTTCAAAGGAATCAGCTACCACCGATCCATTACTGAAATAATCAAGTTATCTGCAAATACATCAGTGTCGGACTTTCAAGCCAGTATGGTCGTTCGTGTGCACTGGCTGCCAGTTTTTGCCCCGCACTGGACCTGTGCCTGCCGCTCGAGCAGTCATAGGCTTCTGATTTTGTGCCAATCAGCCCTAAGTGGGACAACTCCCAAACCTTCATCAATCAATTTCGATAAATAAGACGGAAGAATCACCTTTTCAGCTTGATGATTATGTAACCCCTTTTAGGTTAGACTGGTGACGTGAGGTCATCACTCACTGTGGCGACGGCCTCGGCGCCGCATAACCCCCAGCGCGCCACCCTCCGCATACAAACAGGCCAGAGAAAAGCAAAACCACTTTGCCATCGCGCCCAGTGGTTGTAGCCCTAGACTGAGATATACTAAAGCCGGAGCCGTCGGGAACGTTAAGATAACCACACTAACTACCTTCTACCACAAATCACGTATTGTTTCTACCTCCCCTGTCCTCCCATCACCATCCTCCGCCCCTCACCACCGCCGGGGGTGTACCCATGACCTCACCCGATTGGTATCTTAAATTTGTGCGTGCGAGACACGAAGAATTTTTCTACCTATCGTCGACTTCCATCGGGGTAAACAGAGACCGTGCCAGCGCCCCACCGAGGACCTTATTGGCTTGTTGACACTTTCAGCCACACGTATTCCACTGGATAAGCACTGACGACACCACCAACCAACCATGGGGCAGATTTTGAGTTCCCCGCTTAAGGAAAAAGCCCTGGAGCTGGGCGGCGATAACTACGTGGCCTACGGGTTGTCGTGTATGCAAGGGTGGCGGATCAACATGGAGGACGCCCACGCCACCATCTTGGACATGAAGCAGGTCCACGACTACCGCGACGGCGACGAAGAGGGCGCTAACGCCGCCAACAACAACAATACCGCCGCCGCGCCCGCCGACGACGGCAGCGAGGACCACGTGGCGTTTTTCGGCGTCTACGACGGCCACGGCGGTGAGAAGGCCGCCATCTTCACCGGAGACCACTTGCACGAGCTTATCAAGGCCACCGACGCCTACAAGACCGGCGACTACATAAACGCCCTCAAAGAAGGGTTTTTGCTGTGTGACCAGGCGATCCTCCGAGACTTCTTCATGCGTGACGACGACTCCGGCTGTGCCGCCACCCTGGCGTTGATCACCGCCTCCAAGGTGGTGTGCGGTAACGCCGGTGACTCGCGTACGATCATGTCGATTAACGGGTATGCCAAGGCGTTGTCCTACGACCACAAGCCCTCCAACGAAGGCGAAAAGGCCCGTATTTGCTCTGCCGGCGGTTACGTCGACATGGGCCGTGTCAACGGTAACTTGGCGTTGCTGAGGGGTATCGGTGACTTTGAGTTCAAGAAAAACGTCAACTTGCCCCCTGAAGAACAGATAGTGACGTGCTACCCCGATGTCATCCAGCACGAGATCAACTACGCCAACGACGAGTTCGTGGTGCTTGCTTGTGACGGTATCTGGGACTGCTTGACTTCGCAAAACTGTGTCGAGTGCGTGCGCCGCGGCATCTACGAGCGCAAGCTGTTGGTGGAGATCTGTGAAGAATTGATGGAATTGTGCTGCGCCCCCAACCTGGGCGGCCTGGGCATTGGGTGCGACAACATGCTGGTGGTGATCGTGGCGCTTTTGGACCACGCCCACGGCGAAACCCTTGAACAGTGGTACGACAAGATCATTGCCCGCGTCGAGTTGGCGGAAAAGGGCGACAAGAAGTATGGCGGTATTCTGGCGCCCTACGGCGAGTTGTACAAGCAGATGTACGGCGACGGCTACGAGATCGGCCAACAGGGCCTGCTGAAGAGCGGCCGCCGTGACAGCGACATGCATGACCCGGAGATGGAGGAAGAAGGGCTTGGTGACGTCGCCGGGCTGCCGATCACGTTGCAGAAGTTGTTGCAGCTGAACGCCATCACCAACGAGAACGGCGTGATCTACTTGGACACGTCGTCGGCCCAGCTGTTGTTGGCGCATTTTGGCATGCTGGATGAGGTGACCGGCGACGACGACGACACCGAAAAAGTCGAGGAGGTGGCGGACGAGGACGCCCCGACCAAAGCTGACGAGTAACGATTCTTGATGTTTAATGGTTTTACTTTTGATTTAGTCGCAGTTATTTCGTTATCATAATACATTGTATTATAGAGAGGGGCCCATCTATAGATCAATACACAGTAGCGACAATGAAAGCTAGTATGTACACGTCCTGGAGCAATCTATTTACATGTCGTGGAGGAGAGCCGCCACCACCTTGGCGAACCCGCGTTTGTGCACCATGTGCTTAGTATCTTTGCCGTTGTCGTCGTAAGTCACGTCCCAGTCAAATTCACCGGAGGCGTAGACGTCCTGCCACAGCTCCAGAAGGCGTTTACCACGCACTTCCACTTCCACAGTGGGGTAGTGTTTGCCCAAAATCGCCACCAAGGGGATCCCCATCATGTTGGAGTCGTTGATCTTGCGACCAATACCGACTTTGGCACGGTTGTCGATGCGGTAGTTAATACCAGCCTCATCTAAGTCCTTGTAGAAGTCGGCGTACGCACTAGAGTCTTTACCGGCTTCCACCACCGTAAGCGACCACGGAGCCAATGCCGCTGGCCATCTGAGACCGTGTTCATCACGATTGATCTCGGCAACAGCAGCAATGATCCGCAGAAGACCAATACCATAGCACCCCATGTAAAGCGGTTGACGTACGGATTTACCCGTAGAATCAGGGATATCGATTTCACAGCCCATAGGCTCCAGGTACTTGGTCCCCAAGTAGAAAGTGTGGCCAATTTCAATCGCTTTGGACGCTTGTAAAATGCCATCTTCACATTGGCCACAGATCTCGCCTGCTTCAGCAGACACGATGGGAACATCAGTGAGCATGGTGATGTTGATCCGGTTGACAAAGGGGAAGGGAAAGTCGGGGAAGTTTGACCGCAGCGTGAGCCGCAGGTCCATCATCCGCACCACTTTACGTGAAAGTAACCCTTCCTCGGCGGTGAAATGGGCGACGATAGCGTCTTGGTCAGTCCAATTCAAGTCTATATCAGGTACTTCAAGTTTGACTAAGTTGGCATCCAATTTGCGCGAGGCGGGGTAATAGGCACACACCACCGTTTGCTTATCGGTAGTGCCAAAGTAATGGACGGCGACGTCGTTAACGTCAGTGGCTTCTTCAGGGTAACTAGTAGTCTTTTCAATGTTACTGGTGTGGCCACAAGAGTCGCATGTAAACACAGTGTCTTCCCCGGTGGAGTGGGAGATGTGCCATTCGTGACTTAAGTTACCACCAATATCCCCCAGATCAGCATTAGCCACCACGTAGGGCACTTTAAGTTCCTTAAATATGCGGTGGTACAGTTCAACAACTTGGTCGTAAGTTTTCATAGCATTTTCCTCGCTGGCATCGAAACTGTAGGCATCCTTCATCATGAACGCTTTACCACGAAGTAAACCCCCTCTGGGTCGGAGCTCATTGCGGAACTTCTGATTGATCTGATAGTAACGCAAAGGAAGTTGTTTGTAAGAAGTGATCAGCAGGGCCACGTAATCAGTGATATCCTCTTCGGCTGTAGGCACTACAAGGTACTCATCACCGCTGAGCTTGAATAGCTCCAGCAGCAGCTGCCACCGGCCCAGCCGCTTCCACAACTCATTGTGACTCAACAACAGAAGACTAACCTCCTCAAATTGAGTATTATCCATGTTTTTGCGGACAATCAGCTCCACCCGGTTGAGGATGGCGAGCCCCGGTGGGAGCCAATGGACAAGCCCAGCTTTCGGGTGGGCGACGAAACCAAGCCGTGACAAGAGATCGGCAGTGGTAGTGGCGCCAACCAGCTTGTATAACAGCTCGACGTTGGCGCCGTAAAGGCGAGGCACGCAGCGGGAGGCCCCAAGCATAGTGTGGGGAAGAGTTGGTAGAGTCTGCGATAAACTCCGAGGAGTGCGGACTGCATATAAGAGGGTACTAGAAGTCTACACCAGACATCACCAGAAACCAACACCAAGTGTAGACTTGAATTTCAGTAACATCTAGTATTCATCTTCATGTTGAAATGCTTATACCATGTTTATTGTTTGAAGGTTTATCGCGCCCTCCTAGATTGATTCACTTTCAATGATTTCTACCATTTCCTAATAATACGTGTATTCACTCATGCAATTACAACTTCTTGTTGACTTCGTTGACCAAGTCGTCGCCGTAGGACTTCAAGTTCTGGAACGCGTTCTGGAACGAGCGCTTGGCGGCGTCGAGCTTCAGCGAGTCGGCGCTGCGCACAACGTCGTCCAAGTTCTTCTTGGCCTGTTCGTAGTTGTACACGGCCTGGTCTCTGGCAGCGTCGATCTGTTCGTCAGCCCGGTTCAACAGGCGGTTCAATTGACGCTTGCCCTTGTAGTATTCCGACTTGATGTCGTCAGCGGTGGCGCGGCCCCAGCTCTTCCACGAGTTAAGCAGCCGTTCGCCTTCCAACTTCAAGTTTTCCAACCGGTTTTCCGCATTGGTGTTGTCCTTCTCCAAAGCCGCAAGCCACGCCTTTCTCTGCATGTCTTCCGACACCAGCAACGGGTGGCGTTCGGGAGCAGGGCCGCCGAGCTTGTTGACCAAGTCAATGTACTTGTGCACAAGCTGGGTGAGGTAGGGCTTCTGGTCTTCCGGGGTCAAAAGGTCGGTGACGGCGTACTTGTACGCCTTGGCATCGCTCTTGTAGTCCTTGAGCTCGTCGCTGATCCACTTGAAGGTGTCCGATTGAGCGATTTGGTTCAGGACGTCGTCGACGCGGGCCTGGGCGGCGTCAAGCTGCTGTTGCAATTGCAGCTTAGCCTCCGACCACAGCTGTCTGGCGTCTTTGGAGGCCGATTGCAACGTCTGGTTGATTTGACGAGCAGAGGCTTCCGCCTGTTGCTGGGTGGTCTTGGAGAAAATGGGTTGGACATTTCTGTCGTACAAGTAGGCGCCGCCGAGCACGGCTGCTGCACCGATGAGAATCTTCGACATGATTAAGGAGATGGGGGAGCAGTTGACGTGGTTGCCGGCACCCCCATGGTTTATATACTGGGGGGCACGTTACAATTGCTACGCCATGCCCAATGAGGTAATCGCCCTCATGTGACCGATTCGGTGGCGGTGGTCGCGACAGCAACTTTAGGGGGCAAGGCCCCACCAACGTTGCCATTGCCAGCCGCAATCGCAGGTGAAACGCTCAGATTTGACGGAGTTAAATTCTCCGCCTTCAATTGAGCTACGTGGCTAATTCTCAAGGCTAGGCGATGGGTTCATGGGGCTATCTTTGTCCCGAGTGTCTTTGTAATTATATGTCGACTCATTCGTCTCGTTATTACCCTGCATACCGTGTGCAGGACGGGAGCTAGGGATAGCCCTCGTTCCCCGAGGGTGATGCTTCGAGAACGCCCCAACCGCACGCCCCCCGCGCGTCCGCTGCTGCCGGGGCTTCGATGCGGCGCGGCATCGGCGGTGCCCCTCCGGCTCCGGCCCCGAAACACCTGAAAAAACCACGAAAATCGATACCAATTACAATTTCTCCTTCATAACCAGCCACATGTGGCTCAGTTAGATGTATACTCAATTGACTCAATTAGATGTACTCCATTGAATGTATCTTACGTATGTACTCTACCAGTCGTCGCCGTTGCCCCACCCATCATCGTCATTACCCCAGCCATCGTCATCGCCGTCGTTATCGTTGACTTGAAGCTGGAGGGTCAGGCCAATAGGTTTCTTCGTCCCGAGCTTTAATGATGAAGTTGAGGTAGCTGGTTTAGTAGTAGTTGAAGCCCGCACCGAGGGTTTGGTCGTCAGCTTCGTCAATGGCTTCGTGGTCAATGGTTTAGTGGCTCGCGGTCCCAGTTTAATCGTCGTCGTTGACTTTGGCGTAGGTTCCACGGCAACATCGTCAGCGGCACCCCAGCCATCGTCATCGTCATCGTCGGCAGCACTACCCCAGCCATCAGTAGGAGTTAAAACAGTTTGCGAGGGGGTAGGCGTCAGCACCCGCGTAAGGTCTGGCGTCAGCGACTTGAGGTCGTCGTTCATCAGCCCCTTGACGTTTTGCTCAGTGACGAACATGTTGACCACCGACCACCCGAACGAGTAGGCGCCCAGCGCCAACGACGCCGCTTGCGTGCCGGCGTTCGGGGTGATTCTCGAGAAGAAGTCGGCTTCTTCTTGGTCCTCGCTCTCTTCGTTTTCGGGAAGGGTCAGCGCATGCTTCTCCACCTCGTCCAAATAGAGAGTAAACACTCGTTTCGCCTCCTTACGCACCTTAGAGCTCTTAGGGTCCATAAGGGCAATGGCTAATTGACCCAACACTTTAGCACACATCTCTTCAAGCGAGAAGTCCAGCTTAAGCGACTCAAACCCAGAAAGCGCCATCATCTTTGACGGCGTAAACGAATCCCGTAATGATTTGGAAAGAGCGGTGATGAGCACACTATTCTTGGAGTTGGTATAGATCTTGCTGGATATTTTGATGATGAGCACCAATGTGTTGACCCGGATCAGCGGCTTCGGGTCCTGTTGGAGCTTAGCCAACACCCGTAATAACTCGTTGTTGACTTGTTTCTGGGAGATCTTGTCGATAATGATGGTGATGGATTTGAGTGTAGTCTCCCGAATCAAGAAATTGGTATCAGCGAACCCCAGAAGCAATGGCGTGAAAATCTTCTGTTGCACTTCAGAGTCCAGCAAGTGCTGTTGGTAGTCATTAAGGTTGTTGAGAAGCATAAGCCGCACTTGACGGTCAGGAAGGAGGAACGCTTCAAACAAGATCGGCTTAATGTACTTGCTGAACACGGCTTCGTCGACCTTGGTGCCGAGACGAATGATATAATTAAGCAATAAGTTGATCGTCTCTTGTCTGGCAGCAATCTCTTCAGGGGTCCCTTGGTGCTTAAACTTGGTCAAATTAGTGTATTGCGACACAAGCTCTGGCACCAATTTGTGGCCCAAGATCCCGGGAGGAAATCGGGCAGCGACGTCGTCTTCGGTATCCAAGAAGCTCAAGTTATATTTGCAAAATGCCAACTTTTCATCGGCTTGTTTGAATTTGAGTTCATCCAACTCGCGGTTGAACCCGATGATGTCATTGTTATCGAAGAAAGACGCTGTTTCCGAGGCAAACTTTTCTGTAGTTGGTCTCACCGTCACCAGAGCATTGCAAAGCTTGCGAGTGGCGTTGGCTAAGGGCTTGGGAACGCCTTGAGCACCACCAAACACCTGATTAATCCAGTTACCTAATTCATAGGAGTCAAGCTTAGTGGGGAACTGGCGTAGCTGTTCGTGGTCAAAGTTCTGCGGTACCAACGACAGGAACTGAGGCAAAAGATTCGAGTTGCGGTAGATGGGTTGGTCAGGATCCAGCGTCAAGTTAGTGCAAATTTCGAACCCCAACAACTTCCAGTCTCCCAGCGAAGTGACAAACACCAGCGATTCACTGATGTTACCGTGGACACAGTTACATTTAGCGTTGATGAATGCCACTGCCGCCACGATGCCGTGGATGCCAAACACTTTGGCGTCCTCAGAAAGCTCGTGAGTGGAAAGGTACGAAGATAACTGAGTCACGGGTTCGGTGATGAGGTGGACGCCCTGATCCAGCTCGATAAAGTCCAATACCGACACCACTTGGGGGAATCTGATCAGTTTAAGTTTCTTGAACGCGTTTCTGGCCAACGGTTCCGCTCTTGGGTTCTCTTTCACCTGGTATTCAAAGATCAGTACTTCCTCTTGATTCTTAGGGTTCACCCCACGGTGTAACGTCCACACGCCGCCAACATTATCGGCCACCTTCTCCTTAAACGTATAAGGGATGCTGGTGCCAGTCAAGCTGCTCAAGGCACTCGAGAGGAAGTTCATTTGCCTGCTAGCAGATCGGATCTAGTCGCGCTGTACTGCCACGCGAACGCGGTTGACGCCAAAGAACAAAAACACTAATGGAGTCATATTTATGAAATATTTTATTAAAGACCTGCTTTATTTGACCATAGATAATTTAATCCCCTAATGTTCCAATTTGTGATTTTGTAAGAATGTTTGGGGTTTTTTAATATTGAGAGTGACAAATCAAGGTTGATATCATTTGACTAAGGTATTGGTATTAGACGAAAAACCACAATTTGTACATGCTACAAAGATTACAATCTATGTGTAATTTACTCTAAAAGTTTAACCCTTCCGTTTGAACCCAAATATACTCTTTCTGCGCTCCATGTCATTGCCGCCATTAGTTTCTGGCGTGGGACCTGCCCCTGACAGCAGCTTATCGCGGCGACGGAACAACAGCTTTTTGCGAGCCATCGGTGGCGGCGCCGGTACTGGGGCTGGGGCCAGGTTGAGAGGTGCCGGTGGCGGCGCCGTGTCCTCTAGCGTATCCGTAGATTGTGCCGGGTAAGTGACGTACGGCGAGTATGCTGGGATCAGACTCGACAGCGACGTGCGGCCGTTCTTTTCCAAGTCGTTGTCGGATTTGTCGAAGAAATTAAGCTTGAAAAGCCGCTTGTCGGGAAGCGGCGCCGACCCCGTTTGTGTAGTCGGTATGGTGCCGGTTGAAGCCGCGGTTGCTGCTGGTGTTGCTGCTGCCATCGTCGGAATGGGCGGAGGTCTGGGCTCGGTAGTGGCCATCGACGGAATCGACAGCGACACCAGGTCGTCGGGCTTCGACAGCGGCGAGTGCGACCCCGTGGCCAGCTTTTCTTGCGAGTAGTGTTGGAGTTCGTAGTAGTCATGACTGTTGAAGATTCTTGAGGTGTTATAGCCCTCCTGACTCTGGTCTTCACCGAGGTGTTGGTAGAAGAGAATGTACGCTGACCCTAACCCGGGGGAGTTACCAAAGAACCTCATGACGTACAGGTCGTCGACAATTTCCACCGTTTCGTCATCAAATAAGAGCCACACCCCAGGACGGTACTTACAAAGGGCGACGTAGTGACCGTGGGTGGGACCTCCACCAATGTGGACGACGAGAGCGTATAACTCGTACATCAGCTCCAGTGCCACGTCGTCAGTGGTGTTGAATAACCGGAGGTTGAATGGGTACGATATCAGGTCGAAAAGCTTCACCATACGGTCCACCAGCTCGTCGTACTTGAACCGCTTCATATTAATCACCAACACCTCGGGGAGCTTTGCAAGCTTGATTGTCTTCACCGCTTCTTGCAACAGAGCGCATCGGTTACAGTAGAATTTGTTTTGGTTGGTCAACACTTCCAGCTGGCTGAAGTTATTAAGTAAGTGTGATAACAGGTGCGACAGCCGGTGGTCCAGCGGCGGGATATCCACCGAGAGGTCGATGAAGTGCTCGTGTTTCAGGGTGACGGTCTCACAACTAAGACACTTGGTCTCATTGGTGATTTTTCCCTGGAAAATGTCGGTGCACCAGTTTTTGGTACCCCCCGAATCTCGCTGGACACAGTCGATGATTTCGTTGAGCAAGTAGTTGTAGAATTCGTGAGCGTCGTGATGCATGTTGTTCTGGCTGAACAAAAAGTTTTTCGCCTTTAACTTGGCGATAAAGTACAGCGGGCACACCACCCCGGTGGTCAGCCGGTTGTCGATCATTGCCTCGAACATGTCTCGGAGAGCGTACATGAGACACAGATCTTCGTTTTGCGCCTTAACGCAAAGCGGAGAGTCCAAGTTGATGATGGGTCCGTTGATCAACGCCAGCTTCTTGCGGTGATCGCTCAGCGGGTTTTCCGCAAACGCGTTCACGGGACTCAGAAGGAACGGTTCCGGGTACGGGATGCCGACAACGATAATCGACAGCCCTTCACCGCCAACAGAGCCACTGCCGTTCAGCGATTGCACCAGGTTATCGTCGAGAAGCATCAGCAGCGATTTTGATGTGGTGATGTTTTGCTTGATTAAAGTATTATTGCACCGCGTGGCCTGGACCGGTAACCTAGCAAGTTCAGGACACTTCATCACCTCGATCCGTTGAGGCGTGCTGAGCCCTTCGCATTGGCCGGCAGGCATGATTTGTGGGTGGGAGAACTGCAGTGCCAGCGATACGCTGGGCATCCGTGACGGTTCCGGGTTAGTATTGTTGAATTTGAGGCCGAAAATCAGTCCCTTGCGCTTAGGAGCACCGGTAGAGGCATTGGCGTCGACGGCTTCGTCGCCCTTCTCCTCCTTGAGCTTATTTTGGATTAACTGCTCATACTTGACGGTGAACGAATGGGCGCCGACCCCCTTGACTTCGGGCTTGTACCGACGCTGTTCGCCGGTGTCCAGGTAGCCGTAATTGACGAGGTTGTCGCGGAAGCGGTCCAGGTAGAACAAGCACTGGAGAATGGAGTTGCAGTAGCAAGTGTTGCCGAAATTTTCCATGCCGAAAATCTTGGTGGGTGTTGACGGCTGTTTGGGATGGAATTGCAATGACGACGCCAACGTCGCCCCTGGGGGCTCGGGTGGCTCTGATCGAGTCATGGCTGGGGTGATGAGTTTCGGACGATCCCAGCGGTAATCGTCTAGTATGCCTATCGTGGGGTTCGCACCGTCGGCTCTGTGCAGGACAGACACTCAGCGGTCGGAGCCCTCCCCTCCAACAACCTCGTCGACCTAAACACGCTATTAAGTACGCCATGGCGAGTGATGGGTAGCGTGTTAGTATCGGAAAGTGATGTTGGTCACGGTTTGAATGAGGACGAGAAAGTGGGAGAGAATTTGTAGGGCACACTGAGGTGGGGATTGACGTGGCGATAAAGGAGAGGTGGTGGCGTTTGGCGTTGAGTGATGGTGGTACGCGTTTGGAGCAAGTTAATGACCTTTGAAGATGTGTTTTTTTGAAAAGATTTGGCGGGGCCCGCCTTAGGCGAGGGGGACAGCTAGGAACACGCCACTATGCAAGTGTCAATTGGCCCCAGTGCGTCGGCGTCTCTTGGCGCAGGCTATCGGAGGATGGTTGACCATTGTCTATTCGCTGGAGAAGTCCGTAGGCTGTGGCAGTGTGGGGATATCTGCAGCTATTGGTGCCGCGTACATGTTTACACTTTGGGTTCAGGCACATTGCGGTAGATACAGCCCAGTCGGCATTTTGAGGCAAAATTCACCTGAAAAAGACCACGGAAAAGAATGCCACGAGAACCACTGCTATGAGAATAGTCAATCTGGATTGGAAACGGTCCTCACCTCCGATTTGTGTGTATCATCAACGACAATGTTATTGTCACCGGATGTCGCCGCAGCGAGACTGCCCCCACACTTCGACGCGAACCGATTAAGCTTTAACATTACACCACAGGCAAACGGCACTTACACAAGCAGGTCAAAATCAAGGGAATTTCAAAGATAATAGTGACGTGACCAATAAAATGAGCCTAAGCAACGTCAAATGATGCTGTTATATTTGTTTTCGGTATAATTACAAATGCCTGTTTCGACCCCCCAGGGGGGCCTCGTGTTCTAGCAGAAGATCTCGCTTTTACGACGAGGTGCCGAATCAAAATACCAAGAAAATTATGTGAAAATGCTCTGACGGATCGAGAAGGGCGGGTTACTCTAATCATTCAGAGCTATGGATATAAATACTCAGCGGTAATGGGGATTGCAATAAACTTTGCACCATGCTCTTTTCCTCCGTTATCAGCTACTTGACGCTTGCGTCGTCGGTGTCTGCCATCTACATTGACTCCAGCTTTGATTATGGTACCCTCGAGCTTAAGCGGGACTCGGTGGAGCTTGACACCAGTTTCTTCCGCATTCCCGATAATGCTACTAAGGACGACTATTTTGACGCTAATAAGAACTGGGCCACCAACCTTAACAAGACGGAATCGTTAGTGTTGGAGACGTCGGGTAAGGGCCAAAAGCCCCATACGTTGGTGATTACCTGCTCGGACTCGCGGGTGTCACTGGCGGCATTTGGTGTGTACCCCGGGGAAATCTTCGAACACAAGGATATTGCCAATGTCATTGTCCCCACCGATATCAACTCTCAAGCGGTTATCCAGTACGCGGTGGAGAACTTGAAGGTGAAGAAGATCATCGTTGTAGGTCACACTGGCTGTGGTGGGGTCAATGCGGCGATGGAGTCGACACCGGTGGGTGGGGTGCTTGACTTGTGGTTGAACCCGGTGCGGTCGTTAAGAGTGTCTCACTTCGATGACTTCAAGAAGATCAAGTCCAAGGACGATAGAGCCAGGCACTTGTCTGAGTTGAATGCGGTGCAATCGGCCCAGGTGGTGAAGACGCTTCCTCCCGTGGCTAAGGCATTGAACCTGAAGGATATCGAAGTGTGGGCGTTCCTCTACGACACTGCCACTGGGTTGATGAGCGACCTCGAGATTCCCGAAACCAAGCACCTGGCCATCTACTTGTTGAATGGCGACAACGACAAGGATGAGGAAAAGAAGGAAAAGGAAAAGAAGGAGAAGGAGAAGAAGGAGAGAAAGGAGAAAAAGGAGAAGGAGAAGAAGTAAAAGGAAGATAAGTAAAAGTGCATGTAATAGATTGTGTACAAACGTAATAACAAAATTCAATTCAATCTACTTTTCCGAAGTATTCATCATTTGATGAAATTTCGAAATTACAACACTTTTCCATCACTTTTCACGAAGCGTACACGTAAGCGTATCAGATGAATTAGAAGATTGCTGAGATTCATTTAATCGTCGAGACAATTCTGGTGGCTTTTTTTTTTTCATTAGCCAATATCGCTTGCTTCCTCACCAAAGCGTCATTTTTCAGACGCGTCGCGTTAAGGGTAACCATCTCAACATGTCTCTCTGGGTCGACCGCTACCGCCCAAAGCAGCTTGACCAATTGCTGTACCATCAGGATATTAATGCCAATCTCAAAGCCCTTGCACAGTCGGGCGACTTTCCCCATTTGCTCATCTATGGTCCCCCTGGGGCAGGGAAAAAGACCAGAATTTATGCCACGCTTAACGAGATCTTTGACCGGGGGGCAGAGAGATTGAAGATCGACGTGAAAACTTTCACTACCCCTTCTAACAAAAAGCTCGAGTTCAATGTATTGTCGTCTCCTCATCATCTCGAAATCACTCCCTCTGATATGGGCAACAATGACCGAGTAGTGATCCAAGATTTACTTAAAGAAATTGCTCAAACCGAACAAGTGGACATGAGTCTGAAACGTCACCACCACTTCCGGATTGTCATCATCAACGAGGCCGAATCGTTGTCTCACGATGCCCAGGCGGCATTGAGACGAACGATGGAAAAGTACTCGTCCCAGATCCGGTTGGTGATGATTTGTACCCTGATTTCATCTATCATTAGTCCCATTCGACTGAGAACTTTATTAGTCCGCGTTGGTGCCCCCGAAGTACCAGAAATCGTCAGCGTGTTGGGCCACATCGCTGAAAAGGAAAAAGTTAAGTTTGCTGATGACTCTCAACGTGACCAAGTACTTGCCAAAATTGCTGTGGCCTCTCAGCGTAATTTACGACGGGCCCTCCTCAGTTTTGAAACCCTCGCTATGCAAAACCTGGTGTTAACGGCGCAAATGCCGGTGGTGACGTTGGATTGGGAGGTGATCATTAACAACATTGCTCGAGATATCAAAAATGAACAGTCGGTGAAGTTGCTTGCTCGCATCCGAAGCGCATTCTACGAGTTGTTGTCGCATTGTATCCCCGCTAAGGTGGTACTTAAGACATTAGTGCAACGCTTAGTGGAGCTTTTCATTCACAATACGCCTTTAGTGGTGACATTGATGGAACACGCGGCCGTCTTTGACGAACGGATGCTGTTGGGACAAAAGCCAATTTTCCACCTCGAAGGGTTCGTGGCTAAGGCGATGGTGGCGATACAAAACAGTTAGCGGTTAAAAATTTAGGGTTCATTTAATATAGTCATTAGATATTTAACACTAAGTCTGAATCTTGTTGTCAGAAGCAGACTTGGTCGCCAAAGTAGGGGTGCTGGTGCTGCCTTGACGCGATTCTTCATAAGTGGGAGGCTCGTCAGCGGAGGACGAGTTCAACGGCGCTGACAGGTGACCTTCGCTGCCGTTGACAGGAGTGGGGACATTTTGTTCATCATCTAAACGCTGGTAACCATTTCTAGGTTGTTTCTTAGTGAGGATAAACCAGATGGCATAAATAATCCCGGGGAAGTGACCGCAAAGGGTGAATAGCACCACAAGCAACGTCGACAGGTTCCACACGCAGTAGTTGTTGAGGACGATCACCGGGAGCGGCGGGAAGATAAGCGCGAGGAGAATCAATAAAAGCTTTTGAAGCCCTTGGTTTGGTCTCGACATGGTAGGTTGGTTGTGACAATGCAAGTGGGTTTTATCGCGACACTGTGAGATTGTGGAGGGGCAGTGCGGGAGGCAATTGCGTGATGCTAATTATAGAGGCAGCGGAACGACGACGTGAAATTATGAGGGCTGAGGCTGAAAGTCTACTTGAGGCAGTATTGTCAAAAGTAAAGCTTAACAATATTCACTAGATAAAGTCTAGAAACTCGACTATCGTGGCCAACGCGGCGCTCTCGTTTCCGGGACTTGCTCTGAGTCGCCCCCTTGAGTTGGATCGGCAACATAGAAAGTTTTGGATTACCAACACATCAAGTCATATCAGAGACAACACGATACCTCGATAGCAAACCGCCATTACTTTTGTACCCCTAATGGTGGGGTGCGAGTTAACCCCAAGTGGCTGATCACTCGCACTAACACCGCTCGAGCGACACCGACCATGGACTACATAAAGCGAGCGGTATACGGGCCGGACCCGAAGGAACAGGTATGTGAATCCCTAGTGATGATGTCGAGGACACTACTAACCGGTAGATGCGCAAGATTAACAGCTTGCTCCGCAAAAACAGCCGGGAGCTCGACCGGTCGATGAACCAGCTAAAGCCGCTCGAAAAGAAGACCGAGACCCTTATAAAGAAGCTGGTCAAGGCTGGCGACGTCAAGCTGGCCCGGTTATACGCCCGCGAGCTCATCAACATCCGTCGACAGTACACTAAGCTCCACACGCTGAAGGCCCGGTTAGAGCTGGTGACGATGGCGGTGAATGAGCAATTCCAGATGGTGAAGTTGACCCAGCTGATGGGGCTGCTGACGATGATCATGAAGGATGTCAACCAGCTTGTCCACGTGGGTGCAATCTCGCAAACTATGCAAGAACTTCAGAAAGAGTTGTGTAAAGCAGGCATTATCAATGAGATGATGGACGATATGGTTGACTTAGAGATTGAGGACGATGAGTTGGAAGGCGAATCCAACGATGAAGTGAATAAGATCATCGCTGCCTTGACGGAAGACAAGCTCAACCTGATCGACACCGAAGTGCCTCAGTTCGCCGCCGAAGAGCCGGTGGTGGACGATGTGATTGCTGAAGACGACCACCACGAGCTCGACGAGATGCGTGACCGGTTGAAGGCGTTGAATGGTTGACAATTCCTGTATTACTTCCTATATTGAGTATGACGCTAGCTGGAGACGGCCAGTTGGACCAGACAACACCGAACCACCCCCTTTAGAACGAGCTATTAATTAACGACGAGCCGGCTTCTGCTGGCAGCACACTTTGTCGCATTTCGAACACCGTAGAGACACCACCCCGCTCCGCTCAGATTTGTGATGTATGGTAAGGTAGCACCCGCATTTGCCACAGTTGTATTGTTGTAACATCGACATTGGTGGAACCGGGTGTCGGGGTGGGTGTTTAAGTAATTTTCAAAAATAGACGACGGTGGTCATGGTGGGTGTTTCAACAATGCATACGCGACTAAACACGAAGCCGCAGCAGATAGACGACGCTGTAAGGCCGGTGATCAGCAGGCACCGCCGCCGGCCGGCGACTGACCGCGGGAGTGATCACGGTGGACGATCCGATGGTGCTCACGAGCATTTGTGGGTACTGCGGTGCTGGTGCCGGTTCCGGTACCGAGTCGCGCTCACAGCAGAGCGTCTTGCAGTTCCAGCACATGTATATATTATGGTGGCTAGCAGTGCAGATGATCCGCTGAGGGATGCGTTCGTCGCAATTACAGTCGCAGGTGAAACATTCATTCATGACAGGATCGTATTCAGGTAGCGAGAGAGGCCCGCCCTATTTATGGGTCTGCTCATATTCAGACCACTGCATCAGCAGTTTCAAGCCCTCATAGCGCGTCAACTCCATGGTTTTGTGGGCCAAAGCCTGCTCATAAAATCGAACGGTGTCTGATTTAGCGACATCGAACACATCGCTTTTGCGAAGAAGGTTCCACACAGTCGTCTTTTTGTCCCACCCTTCTTCCTCGGCTACCAGTGGTAAAAATGTGCCGGAGTGGGGGCGGTGGTGGTAGTCAAATTCGACTCTGAGACCATGAACACCCACCTCCCAATCGTCCCACTTATCAATGGGCGTGAAATTAGCTAATAGGGTAACGCTCACCGATAACTGGGGTAACTCAGAGGCGGTGATGGGCGGGAAACGCAGGTCTTGAAATGCCAGCGACAATGCAAACCGCTTGACCCCTTGCTCGAGAGGCATGTCGGCGAAGGTGCCAATACACCCGCGAAGGTTGCCGTTACGGTTCCAAGTGACGAAAAGCGGGTACCGCTGCGAAGTGAGGGTAGTGTCGGGCTCGTAGCTGGTAAGCAGCTTCAACGGAGTGCCCTTGAGCTTGTTTTCAAGCACGGCAAACGCGTATTCACACACGCCTTTGCTCATTACTGTGGGTGGCGTCGGGAGGTGGTGAGCGGTGAGGTGTGCCCCTCCTCTAGAGGTGCCGGGGTTCGTAACAGCGATCGAGACATTTCTGTGGGGTGTGGTTCGATAGTTGCATGGATTTAGGCTAGACGACGAGCCACGAATCAATAATTCGCTTAGGGCTCATGTCGGCGTCCCTTCATTATTGAAGGAGAGAACCCCCCCTGGCATGCACTCGCAGCGTCGAAGCCAACAAGACAGCCACAATACGATAGTGTCTCGCATCAGTACAGCCCCTGACAAAACTCGTATCAATGGAATTACTAGCATGATCAATTATCGGGACTAAGACAACGGTTTTTGCGACTAAACCGATGTATATTCACTCATCTTCTGATAGCCCAATTATGGCATAATGTCGGCATCATGGCGCTCACAAAGACACACTTTAGAAATATCGCGAACGCTGGTTCCATTGGCTAGTTACATTGGGCTATATAAGCATTGACCACCGAGACGATCACCATCACCGTGTCAAGATCTGACATTAATGTCCCCCAGATACTGCCATCGCAGCCGCACATTGATCGGCCTCACGGCGCCGTGGGTTTTAAGAAGCCGCACACCCAACAACCAGACGTAGGTTCTCAGCATTTCCTCTCCACCCACCCACCCCACGATGCCTGCCATTGATCCCACCACTCAATCGAACTATCGAGAATTCACGGTGCACCAAGGGGCGATCCACATGGACGTCGACTTCGATGCCCGCGTCGTCCACGGGAAGGTGACGTTCACCCTTGAAGGCGCCAGTGCTACCAAGGTGGAGTTGGACACGTCGTACATCACCATCCACGAGGTCTCCGTCAATGGGACTAAGGCTGAGTACACCCTTCACTCGAGAAAAGAGCCGCTTGGGTCCAAGCTTGAGATTACCCTCCCGCAACCGATGGAGGGGAAGTTTGACGTCACCATTACTTACGATACCACTGAGCAAACCACCGCGCTTCAATTCTTGGATAAAGAGGTGACTGACGGTAAGGTGGCCCCTTACTTGTTTTCTCAATGTGAAGCGATTCACGCCAGATCGATGGTGCCTTGTTTCGATACCCCCTCCGTCAAATGCCCTTACAAGTTGAGTGCTACCTCGCCTTATAAGGTGTTGATGAGTGGTAGACCTCTTTCCCAAGAAGGCAACACTTACTACTTTGACCAGCCCGTACCCATCCCCCTGTACTTGATCACGGTGGCGTCGGGTGATATCACTGGGTTACCGATTGGCCCTCGGTCTACTGTGTACAGCGAACCGGTGAAAGTGAAGGATGCTCAATGGGAGTTTGAAGCGGATATGGAAAACTTTTTACAGATCGCCGAGAAGTTGGTGTTTGCCTACGAGTGGGGTACTTACGACGCGTTGGTGTTGCCAGCTTCGTTCCCTTATGGTGGGATGGAAAACCCCAACATGACTTTCCTCACCCCTACTTTAATCTGTAAAGACAGACTGTGCGTGGGAGTGGTGGCGCACGAGCTTGCCCACTCGTGGCTGGGTAACTTAGTCACCCTGGCTCTGTGGTCGCACTTCTGGTTGAATGAAGGGTGGACGGTGTATCTTGAACGTCGTATAATTGAGGCCATCGCTGTTGCTGAAGCTAAGCAAAAGGGGTTGCCCAACCCTGAAGAATACGGGGCTCAGATGAGACTGTTCTCTGCCATCATCGGGTGGACGTCTCTCGAAGGTGTCATTGCCAACATGGGGGCCGATAACCGCTACACTAAGCTCTACCTTGACTTAACTCCTGATGACGACCCCGATGATGCGTTCTCGCAAGTGCCTTACGAAAAAGGTCTGAGCTTGTTGGTGCACTTGGAACAAAAGCTTGGCGGTAAAGCAGTGTTTGACCCCTTTATCCCTCATTACTTCAAGACCTTCAGATACAAGCTGTTGGACACTGACGAGTTCTTGGAATGTCTCTACAAATTCTTTGCCGACAAGAAGGACATCCTTGATCTGATTGACTGGAAGACCTGGTTACACACCACCGGGTTGCCTCCCAAGCCTGCCTTTGACACCACTTTGGTTGACCAATGCTACCAATTGGTTGACAAATGGAGCAAAGCCAACGGTGACTACACTCAGTTTACTGAAGATGACCTTCTGCTGTTTTCGTCGAACCAAGTGGTGGTGTGGCTCGACACTATGCTTCAACACAAATGGGACCAAGCGACCTTGGCTGCCATTGACAAAGCATACCCTACATTGGGTTCCTCATCGAACTACGAGATTGTCTTTCGCTACTACAAGCTTCAAGTGGCTGGAGGCGTGCCTGAATACTGTCAAAAGATGGCTGAATGGTTGGGCACCGTTGGTCGCATGAAGTTTGTGCGTCCTCTGTACCAAGTGTTGGCTAAAGTTGATCGGGACTTGGCGGTGAAGTACTTCAAAAAGTGGCAGGATTCGTACCACCCCATCTGCCGGTCGTTGGTTGTCAAGGATTTGGGCTTGTAAGCCATTTATATTGCATATATATTGCATATATACATAATGAAACTGTGAATGATGCATTTAAAGTACTGTTCAATCTAGTGTAACCATTAAAACCCCAAATTGTACACATATCTAGCACCTCTGAATTGACATTACCCCAACTTTTTCCAAATCGGGCGTGTAGCTCAGTTGGTAGAGCGTTCGCTTAGCATGCGAAAGGTCTTGGGTTCGATTCCCAACTCGTCCATTGTTTTTTGCTCTTCCCGTGGAGAAACGCGCATGCTTTCGGAAACGAATGCCGCTACTAGGCCCATGCCGAGGGACGAGATTCACGTGCGTCTTATCATTGATCACGTCCCACACGACAAATAGCGGTCGAACCACTTTTTCATTCAGCATATATCTTGTACTAGGTCACAAAAAGTAGCCACATATTCCATCCGTTGGTACCTTAACGGCGACCCCACCTCGGACCCTGACAACGGCGTCGTTTTCCCGTAGTGCCCCGCAAGCGTCGTCTCGGCCGCTCCGCGCCGATGCGCACGGGGAAGTGTGGGGTTCAGAGATTAAAATCACACTCCGACCCCGACGGCGGCCATTTTCTCCTGTACACCATGCTGCCCTATGCTCCAGGACCCATCAACGTTGACGACGTCTTCGGTGTCAACGAGACCGGCGAGAACAAGTACGTCGGCAAGCGCCCGCTTCTCAAGCCGGTAGGCGGTGTTCGAGGCGCCTATGGCGGTAACATCGCCGGCCAGGCGTTGCTTGTGGCGATGAAGTCGTGTCCTCCCGAGATGACGCCCCATTCGTTCCATCTGTACTTCGTCAAGGCGGTGTTGGAGGACTCGCCGATGAACTGGGAGGTCACCCATGTGTCTGATGGGCGTAACTTCAACAACCGCCTGGTGAAAGGGTTCCAAGACGGCAAACTCAAATACGTGGCGATTGTTTCGCTTACAAAGAGAAACTCTTTTGCTAGGGAACAAGGCAAGTACGACAAGTGGGCCGAAGAGCGTCGAAAGGCGGGGAAGCCCGTGGCGGTGTCGATCGAGGACGATGACATCGACGACATGCCGTTGAAGCCGTTCCTGTTACAAACTCCCTTCCGTCCCAAGTGGGTCAACAGCCCCAAGGAAGTGGAGATCAACACCGACGGCCGGGAATACTTGACTTACCACAAGTTCCCGAAACAGCTCTACGACTTATCGCTCACTAAGGAAGAGGAAAAGCTCGATCCCACCGACCGCAAGTTGTCGTGGTACCAACAATTCGGGTGTGACGAAGACGGGGTCAACCAGCCGATCGTGGGGATGAACAAACAGTACCAGCACGTGGGGTTGGCGGTGATCAGCGACCTGTGGTTGATGGCGCTTTTGGCCCGCACGTTGAGACTCGACGTCGGCGAGGGCCTCATCTACTCGTGTGTCACTTTGGACCACGTCATCTACTTCCACGACGACGACTTCGACGTCACCAAGTGGATGGGGTTCTCCCAGCGCACGTTGCGCTACGCCAACAGCCGGTTGTTGTGCGAAGCGGAGGTCTACAACGACAAGGGTGTACATGTGGCGACGTTGGTCCAGGAGGCTCTCGTCGACATTAGAAACGTCATCAGAGACCACAAGTTGTAGTGGTGATAACTAGAACAGTAATAGAATGAATACTTAAATTGATCTAATGTAGTAATTTGACTTTAGATTGGCTTGCAAGCCGATGTAACCCTGTTTGTGTATGTCACATGTCTTCGTATCTTTAAGTGGGTGCATTTCTTCCACATTCACCTCAGCGGAACGCCTCAAGTCTCAATTAGGCACAGGGCTAATATTATGGTGATGACGCCAAGGGATTATGTCGTAAAGTAAACCTGTGCCTCATACGGCTGCAATGGCTGAGAGCGTGAGCTCAGGCGAAGCGGTAGATACAATCACCGGCATAAATCAATAATTTAATGACGGATAAAATTCCCTCATAAAAACAGTCAGACTCAAATGTTGGTCATCACGTTGGCGACACTCGCCAGAATATTCACGACAATGTCGAGGGGGTTGTGTGGCATCATCGGCTAGTTCGGGTCGATCACGACTAAAATAGGGTTGCAAGTGTGGTGGTAGACTAAAGGACCATTGGCGGCCGATAACGCTTTTGACCTAATATTTGCTCATTGATTAGACCAACACGAATGAGCCGTGACCAGAATACGAGCCTGTTCTAGGCAACTTGTGCCTGCGGCAATTGTGGTGGAAGCACATCATTTTGGCTCAATTGGGATGGGATAAACACTCATTCAGAGGAAATGAGGCACGGCGCTTGTCGCCTGGCGTCTTTAGTCTGACGGATAGTCGGTCATTCTCGCAAAAACGCACCCAGCCAGGGGAGTCCATCTTGAGTAAGTTCAGGCACCAGGTGTCGAATCGTAGGAGAAACAGAAGGGACTCTCCACTTGCAAAGTATGATGAGCCAACTGGAGTTTGAGCATCAAGAACCATCAAGAGTTTCAACATCAGCCACACATGGGAGGGTGTGGCGGTTAATGTGGTCGAACCTTCATTTATGGTGCGCTCGCCAGTTTTGGTAGCGAAGACTGCGATTTGCGGCCACCGGTTATGCGCCCCTGGCTGCACTTTTAAATTTAGTTTAGTTGCAACTAAAGGTCAAAGTAGCAGAGGACAATGTCAGATGCCCAGCCGTCACTCAAGACGAGCTTGAGAAAAGAAGTAACGGAAACATAGGCAAACCACTGACTTTGAACAGGAGCTTACTTGTCGTGTAGGCGCGGTAGTTTCGTGCCAAGGCAAGCAACAAGGCCCGCCCTTCTCGGGTAGCGCTTGAACCTTAATTTCGACAATAATGGTCTTGGTGGCGAGCTCCAGTATAAATAGAGGACAAATTGGGGGGTCACTGCTTCCAACCCACTGATAAATTATCCCTATGAAGTTCACTCAATTGCTCCTTGTCGCTGCCGTCGCCATTGCTGCTCCCGTCCCCAACGACGACGCCGCTGCCGTTGCCAACGCTGACGCGGCTAACGCCGTTCCCCTCCCTGCGACCGCTCAGGCACAACCAGTGTCTGGGGAATCGCAGACGGCCCCGGCTGCCAGCACCGATAAGCCCTCGGGCGACGAGATCAGACAGGCCGCCAACGCTGTCGGCGTGCAATTGTCGGACGACCAAGTCAACAACATTGCTGCTGCCTACGAGCAGTCGCCGGAAGCTGGTGACCAAGCCGTCGCCGCTGCTCAGGGTGCTGCGCTCCCCGACGCTGCCAACGGGGTGTTCCTCCTCCCTGGCAACCACTACTACTGGTTGGGCGGCCGTCGCTACCGTTACCACGGCTTCGAGACCGGTTTTGGCTGGAAGTGGGGCTGGGGCCTCAACCCGGGCTGGGGTGGCTCGTGGGGTGGTTCCTGGGGGTGGGGTTCCAACTGGGGCTGGAACCGTCCCACCTGGGGGTGGAACCACTGGTGGTAAGCGATGACGCCCTACCCACTACGAAATACCTATATGTTTTGATTTAACGATCCATTAGGCAACAATATACTTTATTTAGCGGATGAAATATATGTCTGATGGTAGTTTATACAAAGACCGAGGGGCGGCCGAGGGTGACCGAGGGTGGCGCAGCCGCGAACTTTGGCTGATGCTAGCACTAATTTCGCACGGTGAGAAATGACTTACCACGCGACTTCCGAGGGTCAACACCACAAAAGCTGGCTACGAAGCTTTGTCGTACCATCAGCCGTCTGACACTCTCGTTTCTTTCTGGCCGTTAACCATCTGCCACTAAACTACTGTGTACTTTCGGCTGGAGTAGCTCCGGAGGCCTTCGCTGCGATCGGACATTGCCGATGCCCGCCCGCAATTTACGACGACACTGCCTCGTGTTGCCATGCACACGCACCGCTATTTACACCAGTGGTAATGGCACAGCCCGTGACCACCATCTACCTTTAGTCACCACCAGCCACCGTCGCCGTGGGTGGCCCGAAGCCAGTGTCGACAGATGTCGCCCATAAGGGCTAATCGCCCCTGGTTACCACCCCGCACCACAGAGACGCGTCGCCCAGACGATTGTACCTGGTCACGGCTTGGCTTCCCCGTATGCTTGTTGGTGGTTGTTTGGTATTTGCATCAGCGTTAAGTGTGTGTTTTTGCACTATAGTTGCCAAATTTTCACCCGTGATAGGTCTTGGCACGGTGTCACCCCTCGTGCCAAATATGGCCTATTTCGTTATAGATCATACACAGCCCTACTGCAGGTTACGTGGGGGGAGGTGCAGCGCGGGATGAGGAGGCCACGCGCCAGCGGAGAATGTGCGACACGCGCCTTTAAAACTAGCGCTGGCGCCCCTTCGTTACCTGCGAAGAGATCGATATGAGCTACCGGCCGCCTCCCCCAGACGAGGAGTACCTCCTCCCCAATGAGCAGCTGCAGAACCATCCAAACCACTCGCAGACATCGCTCGTGGCTCCATTACCCCTGTATCATGATCAGGGGCTGAGACGACCGCTGTACCACGACGACGAGGAGTACTACGGGCAGAACCAGCAACCGCACTCGGTGTTTGCCAGTGGCTACGACGGCGACCACCTGGCATCGCAAACCAACTTATATCATCTGGAATATAATCCCAGTGTCCCCTATGACCAGCTGTTCACACAAGCGCCGACTCAGCACCTGTTTGCAACGCTGTACCAGCCACTGTACCCTACTCCTCCTCCACCGCCATCCCAGCCTCAGCCCAGTGGGTACACCTCCCACCTCCCCCCGCCACCGCTGTATCCTCCGATGAAGGATAGCATCGAGTACGAGGAGTACGAGATGCTGGATCCGTACTCCCACACCCAGTACCAGCCGCAATACTATAATCAGCCTCTCTTCACTGCCCCTCCAGCTGACGATGAAGACCGCGAGTGGGACCAGAATATTGCCTACGGTGATATCGAGGGGGATAACTTCCAACTCACCACAGCATTACCTGAACGAGAAGCGGTTCGGGGAAACGACAGCGACGATGACAACCCCTTTGAATCGGATAAAGTGGTCACGCTGGGGGTCAACGGGCACTTGGTGCTTGACTGTCCCGTGGCTACGGAATTGTTATCGAAGTATCCTGGTTACCAGCCCGATAAAGAACAGGGAGGTTTACTGCGAGAGTTCGCCTACATGCGGTACACTGCCGTCACCTGTGGCCCGTCTAACTTTTTCCGCAACGGGTTCATTCTCCGTGGTATCCACTGTACCGTGCCTCGGCTGACGGAACTCATGGTGGTGATCACCATGTACAACGAAGACGACATTCTTCTCGCCCGTACCCTCAAGGGTGTGTTTAAGAACATTAAGTACCTTATGCTGAAGTCACGGCTGAGCACCTGGGGTGCCGACGCTTGGAAGAAAGTGGTGGTGTGCATTGTTTCCGATGGTCGCTCAAAGATCAACCCCAGAGCCCAGGCGTTGCTCGCGGCGTTGGGGGTTTACCAAGACGGCTTGGCCCGATCGCAAGTCAATGACAAGAAAGTGCAGGCACATGTCTACGAATACACTACCAGAGTGGGCATCTCTCTGGTCGAGGACACCGTCAAGTTGACCACCGACAAGACCGTCCCCGTCCAGTTGTTATTCTGCTTAAAGGAAAAGAATGCCAAAAAAATTAACTCCCACCGGTGGTGCTTCCAAGGGCTCGCGAGAGTGCTCGACCCCAAGGTGGTGGTGTTGCTCGATGCCGGTACTCAGCCTCTGGGTAAGTCGCTTTATCACTTGTGGAAAGAATTTGACCGTGACCCCCGTGTCGCCGGGGCTTGTGGTGAGATTAAAGCTAAGCTTCAAGGCCGCCAGATCCTTACAAACCCCCTCGTCTACGCGCAGAACTTCGAGTACAAGATGCTGAATATTTTGGACAAGCCCACCGAGCTGGACTTCGGCTTCATTTCGGTGTTGCCTGGGGCGTTCTCTGCCTATAGAACCGTTGCTCTTCAAAACGATGTCAACGGCCAGGGCCCGTTGGAGAAGTACTTCAAAGGTGAGTTCATGCACACGTCCCTGACCGACTTGGATCCTGATGACGACGAGTACGAGTTGAAGAAAACGTTGATGGCTCATGAAGCCGGGATCTTTACCTCCAACATGTACTTAGCAGAGGACCGGATTTTATGTTTCGAGTTGGTGGCAAAGCGCGGGTGCTCATGGTTGTTACGTTACGTGCGTCTGGCACTGGCGGAAACCGATGTTCCCGAACATCTTGCTGAGTTCGTTTTGCAAAGACGGAGATGGCTTAATGGGTCGTTTTTCGCTGCTATCTACTCGTTGGTCCACTTCCCCAAAATCTGGACCCTGTCGCATTCATTCGGCCGCAAACTTATGTTCCACGTGGAGTTCTTCTATCAATTCATCAATTTGGTATTGTCTTGGTTCAGCATCGGTCTGTACTTTTTGGTCTTTCGCATATTGACGATCGGTTTGACTGATCCTGCTATGAACTTCCCTCCTGGTAAAGTGCTTGCATTGGTGTTTCTATGGTTGTATGTCGCATCGATTGTGACGACGTTTGTGCTTTCATTTGGCAACAAGCCCACGGGGACTCAGCGTTTTTACGTGGTTATCGTGCTCTTTTTTGCCGTCGTAATGATTTATATGATGCTTGCTGCCATCTGGATGGCGGTCAAGACAATCACCAATATCATCAATGACCCGCTGAAGAGTTCGGCAGCAGCGTTGTTTCTGGATCCCAACTTCCGCGACTTGATTGTTGCTACTGGTCTGACGTACGTGCTTTACTTCGTCGCCCTGTTTATGTACTTGGAACCCTGGCACATGTTTACTTCGTTCCTTCAATACCTTTTGTTGTCGCCTTCATACGTCAATGTGTTAAACATTTACGCTTTCTGTAACATTGATGATGTCTCGTGGGGTACCAAAGGTGACACGGGGGCGCAAGATCTTGGTACCGCCAAGGCGAAGGAGGATGGTACCTTTTCGGTGTCCATTCCTGTGTCCACCGAAGAGATCAACAAGCTGTACCTCAAGGAGCTTGACAAGATCAAGACTCCCGAGCCCGCAGAGAAGGAGAAGAAGCCTGTTTCTAATGAAGACTATTACAAATACGTGCGTTCGATGACAGTGTTGGTATGGATGCTTACAAATTTCGTCATCATCGCCGTGGTGTTGGAAACTGGTGGCTTGAGCGATTTCGTTGAGGAAGATGACACGGACAATAAAACTAAGAGGCTGAAAATCTTTTTAACGGTCATTCTTTGGATTGTGTGCTTTACGGCTCTCTTCAGATTCATTGGTTGCATTTGGTATTTGTTTCTGCGCATGTTCAAACGGAAGAGAACAACTTAATTTGCTTAAATATTTACTTAACATCTACGCGGACATTTCATAAAAATATGTAGATGCTATCTTGATCGATTATCTCTCACCTTGCATTATAGAATTTAAAGAGATTACTTGTATTAAGGGCCTCGAAATCATGGCACTATTGATCTCCACAAGCCAATCTGCTAATTACAGCAGTAACTTCATGTTTTGCGATGGTATTACAGCATTTACCATTTCTCATTTGTACCTGCAGCACTATATCCAAAAGAGTATGCAAAATTTACGTAAATCAACTGCAAAAGCGCCAACGAGAGCGTATAGGGCAATGCTCTCAGTGATAATTACAAGTAAAAAACCAGGAGTGGGGCAGTGGCTCAACGGTAGAGCTTTCGACTCCAGATCGAAGGGTTGCAGGTTCAAATCCTGTCTGCCTCAAGTTCCTTTTTTGATTCTTATCCCTCGAAATTTCAACAAATAAAAGGTAGAACAATCTGAAGACTCGATTTGATCTCGGATATGCACGTCATTGCTACAGCTTATAGTTGGGTAACATTAATGAAACGTTCGCACTACTCTCATGAGAATCGCACTATATGCAAACACCTAAACGATGGGAGGTAACGCAAGAAGGATTTATAAAGCTACAGTTTAGGACAATCGCTTTGTGGTTCTGATGATATCTACTGGGAACGAAAAAAGTGGACGAGTTGGGAATCGAACCCAAGGCCTTTCGCAAGCCCGCTTCTATGCGAAGCGAACGCTCTACCAACTGAGCTACACGCCCGAGATGCAAAAATTGCACTTACACAAAACCATATTGTAGAAGGTAAAGGCAATAATGAGTAATTCCGTCAATAACTATTCTCGGTCAGTCTATTCAAGCTAAAATTGTGGAACCATAAAATTTTATTGAAAAGACGTGCGTGCCTATCTTTTTATTCATCTAAATGAAAACTATTAGTAACTTTCTTTTTTGTTTTTACATTAACGAAGCCATATGGGGTGCTTTGTCCTCATTTCTAGGAACCAAACATACGCTTAGTACACCGAAGGATTGCAAATCCTTCTTATGTTTTCAATCTGTTGAAATTGAGCTTGATTTTTGTAGGCGGCTCTTTTCAGAGTCTTCGATAATAGTTTTTTTTATAGGTAGACATTAAAGCACAACTTTAGATGAAATCGTTGTGTGTACGTTAATGGGAACGCGAGAGTATAGAAGATGAAAGATAGTTATTCAATTATGGCCCAAGTATAGTCGATGAAATTGAAGAGATGGAGGAACGATTAAATCAGAAGCCATTGCTCAAAAGACTGTCTACATTCAACACTTTGGAAGCGCTAGAGTTAGTAGAGACTATCAAAGGTATAGGTTCAGTCTGAGGCTATTAGGCAGAATTGTTTTGAATAAACCCAAATTTGCCTTTGTTTTGCCTGTTCGCACAAACGTCATTGTTCGCTCATGGTGCGTCCATCAGTGCCTAAATGTCTAAACTGTCGCCGCCTCCATATTAAGGTACGTGAGAGATGTTAGAACCAAACATACGACAAATGACTAACGACAGTGTGACCTCAAGAAACCATGTGAATATTGTGTTCATCGAAATCGGGAGTGTGTGTATCCCGATTCGCCATCATCGACAAAACCATCAACTTCAACTTCACAAGCATCGCTGGCCAACTCATCGGTCAGTTCTATGGGACAAATTGTGGACGATCAGCTACCCTATAATGTACTTGAACTAATAGGGAATGATTGCCTAGCAGATGATGTATCTGAACTAGTTGGACCGATGAATGATTACATTGGCGGCCAAGCGGGTGACGGCCATGAGTTCACTCAAGTCATTCATCGTGGCTGTTCGCAAGATTCCTACTACGTGGAAGTTGAAGACACTCTGTTCACAGATGCAGCTCTATATGATGAAGCAGTCATTAATTTATACCTAACCCGGTGGCCTAGATCGATGATTCACTCTCTTTTCCCCAACAAACCTAACATGTCGTCAATCGAGTTGTGGATCATTCAGTTCTTGATAGATTGGAGTGTACGTCATCAGGCCCCCAGTCGTTACCCTCAACAATTACAAATGTGGGATGACGTTAGGACGACTCTATACGCAACGCTGGAGTTGATCCAACTGAGCATGTACGCGTTTCTGGGATTGATGTTTTTGAGCAACCATAATTGTCATTATCTCTTGGGGGATACGCCGATCGATGATGGTCTGGAGTTGTCGGTAGCCAAGATATACAACTTCGCCATGAACCTGTACAGCTACTTGTTACTGGCGTCCAGTAGGCAGATGGCGCGAGTGCTTAATAATACCTGTACAGTTACTGAAGCGAAAGTGCTTTTGGCGTCTTTGACTTTTTTGTACACTATACTAGAGAAGCTACCTCCTGGTACTTGTCCATTGGTCGATTTCACAAAAGGCGGCAATGATTTCATCAAGTACAATATTGGCTTCCGTCAAACATACACTGTGTTGCAACCACTCTTGCAAAATCTGCCATACGAAATCATACAAGGTCCGACAACTAATCGATTTGCCATATCAATCCCAGTGTTTGTCCGCATATTGGAGTTTATCGACAATAATACCGATGGGCTAGGGACTACGGCTGATGTGAGTATCATTAGACACGCGTTTGCAATTCTCGATCAACAAATATATCACACCACCGTTGCCTTACATCCGCTTGAGTACCATCCTATATTTTCAAAGGTGTCGAATGAGTTTTGGGACTTGGTCTATGCTCAAAATACGCTTGCTCTCAGTTGGCTTAATGTATTGGCTGCCTATGCTCTTGTATTTGAGCTGTACTATATTCGCGACAACAACATTTGGGTTGAGTACATGAACTGGTACCGTGCGTGGCATGGTCAAAATTTTTTCTGGGATGAACCAATATACCAAGCTGTGGTTGAACAAGGCTACTGTGTAACTGATTACGCATTGTTGCGATACTTCAACCCCCTCGAATGTGCCATTATCAACGAGATCTCATGATATCGACACGTCTGTCAGTATCTACAATTGACTATGATTTTCAGTGGCTGGAGTCTTGAGTGAGCTCCTTGGAAACCGAAAGCGAAAGCTTCCGTTTCACCGCCAAATTACATTGCCTGATCCGGTGGATGGGCGTTCACTTTATCAATAAGGCTTGTGTCGATAAATCCTTCAGGAGAATGTTGCTGATGTTAGTCAATATGTCGCATTTGCAGATATCCTCCACGCGTAGTTATTTTTCAAGTAGTCGAATGTCCAAATGATGGTGTTCATTCGTCTTTCATCTTCAAGTTCTGTAGATCGTGATTACGTAATGCGCACCGCTCTGTTGTTTTTCGCGTCATAGTGGAGGGTTATCTTAGATTGCTTTGATCCCAAGCGTGTTTCATTAATAGTTTCCAAGTGCTATTCTAGACTGAGTTCCTCCAATGGGCATTTATCTAGACTGAATTCCTTCAGCACGTGCTGTTTGGAATTCTGATGACTATGACCTGACCAGAATTGAAGATAGCGTGTCAAGCCTCGAATTACTTTGATCTCCCTTCACAATCCACCCAAAGGTGTCTGGACGTCTATGTTGATTGTTAGTAACTGCTGTAAAATCAGCAGTCTTTTGAGGGTTTGCGGATTTCCAAGACCTGTTTGTTTTGGGTACAATTCGGATTCACCCTTGCGCTTGCCGCTCAATCAAGACTTTCAATTCATTATAAATGTTGTTGAGTTTGCATGAGACCTCTGCAACACATTGCATTGGTGCAAGACTTATTTGTGAGCTCAAAAGAGCTTGTCTGTGGTAAAACCGACCGGGTTGACTTTTACACTTACGTCTGGCTTCTTTCGTGTATATTGATACGTACCCCGATTGACAAACTTGACCTTGAGAAATCACATCAGCGCCATGAGGTTATGCAGCATCTCCTAACATTGATGGACAGGCATACAAATCCATACTTGTTACATCAATACGCGTTACAAACACATAATTTCTATACATCATTTGAGGGTCTCGTTGCCAGAAGACACTGCCAGTGATTCCGGCAAGGGCAATTCTTGCTTTTTCCATCTGTTGCTCTTTGCTTGCCGATAGTCGTGTATCAAGCCTCTTGCTACAATCATAAACAGACGTCTACCAACCCAAAGCGGCCAAATACCAACTATGAGCAACGTTGAGTATAACCAAATCAAGCCCACTGTGACATAGCCATTAAAGTAAGCTTTAGTAAAGATCCAGTTGCGATATAATGGTAAGGGCCACAATACCCACGTAACCAAGAGGATGAAAATAACTGCAAAAGTGGCGACTTTGATCCAAAAGTTTAGCAGTCTCTCGTTTGCTTGACTGCTCACTTCAATGATTTCCTCAATTTCGTTATGTTTTGCAGAATAACGGGCAGATCCATCAGACTCGTCATCTGGAGCGACCTCTAACTCTAGACTTTGGAATACGCCCCAATCAAAAGTTTGATTTTGGATCAAGCTGATAACTATCAGGACCACCCCGGGCAAGATCATCGCCGTCATCACTCCGTACAAACATGGAAGTTGCCCACCTAACGATTCAATACTCAACTCACCAGAAAAGCCGTACGCAACTCCACACCAGACAGCAATACCAGATACTAATCCTGCTATAGGTGCAACTAAAGCAGCTAACCAGCTCTGTTTACTCCAAGTGATAGCAAATATCATTGGGATGACACCAGGACAAGAAAGAAGAGGGGTGAAGTATCCCAACCAAGTCATATTTGTGCCAACGTAATGAAGCATGATGGAGAAACCAGATGCAAAAAGCCCAAAGATAATAACTGTCACATGCAGCACCCATATCATTTGTTTATTGTCGGCATCCGGACGAAAGTATCTCTTGAAGATATCAAACAGAACAATCAGTGATACCGAGATAAGCTGTGCCAGAACAGTAGATGTCACGGCTAAGTAAATGACAAGGAGGATTGCACCACATCCTCCATTTCCCACGATGGCTTTAAGGGTGTAAGGCAAAACAAAGCCACTCAAAATCTCATAGTCGGTCATCTCACGAGGATAAGTCGGCCAAATATCGGTTTTAGATATGACTAAAGATGCACCACCAATGATGGCCCCTAGTGGCCACACATTACTGAAAATAAGCACGGCCAGGGTCAAATAAGCCGGTACAGTCAGCCGTTGATCAGCACTAAAAGTCTTTTGCCAGAAAGATGAGTCCATTATACACAAACCAAGATTCCCAAACAAAAGTAATAATCCAAAAATGATGGAGCCATGAGACTTACCGGTGAGATAACTTCCCTGGTAATTACCATCGATATACCTGTCACCTTCATGTGCACGAATTTTGTCGTATAAGCCATTGATACCACCAATCAAGTCACTGGTCAATACGGCAGTGTTGAGAATCACGAGAACAAGCAACAAAATAAGCGTGTGCACAAAATCAGTAATGAATGTGGCCTTTAAGCCTCCAAATGCTGTGTATAAAAGCACGCTGAATGGAATCAACATCATCAGAGCGACAATGTGTAAATTCCCAGCAATGATGGATATAGCTCCAGCAGCCCCCACAATCATTGACAGGCATGCGAATAGATTATTCACCAAGCAAATAAACAAAAAGATTATGTGCACTGCTTTTCCATAACGTAAGGATATGATTTCCAACGACGTATGAGCTTGTGGTATCTTTTTCTTAGCGTGAATCCCAAGCAAGGCCATGACAGCGATTTGTATCGATATCCCCGCACCGTAGAAGTAGCTCGCTTGAATGCCGTAATTATATACCATCGTCAGCGTTAACAAAAGTTCAGTAGCCCAGGACCACGATGAGTATACCGCCAGTGTGGTGAGAGCAGTTCCGACATTTCTGTTAGCGACAGCAAACGTTTCAGTACTCTTGTGATTTTCATGAAGATACTTCAGAAGGAACTTTGTGGTGAAAATCATTCCAATAGCGAATGCACCTCCGACTCCAACTAGAATTCCATAGCCAACACTTTGCGAAAGAAGTTGGACTTGTTCCGACATCTAATTTTGGTATCTGAGTACATCGAAAGCAGCTATTTAACTAAATCACTGTGGCTGCTATACTTTACTAGTATAACGAGGTTACCCCGTTATCACCACGTTGCAAGCTTGTGGTTACGTTGCACCACCTCCTTGGACTTGAATGCCGTGTGTTCGTTTAGATTTTGGAGATTGGGAGGTGGAACTTATCTCAGCCACACTGTGGCGACGCTTATGGTGTAATTAGCGGTGTGCGGAGAATTCTCTCACTATTCAGTACTACGTTGACAGCACTAGGCTTAAGACATATTGAAGCCATGCAAGTATTTCGATTTTTAGGATTTCCGTACATGTTAGTTGGCAGTCCAAGACTATCGAGAATGTCTCACCGACCCCCGCATCCTGGTGCCTCGCCCCCTGATCCTCAAGGCTCATAATAATCTGCACCCGTTAAAGAAATCAATCCGACATCAAAAATTGTGGTTATACAAACTTGTAAGAGTTAAATGTAGAAGGAGCTTACGCGGCCTTTGAGTCTGAAATTGTATTATATGCTTGTTCACTAAAAAGGACGGAATGTGCCGCGTATGATTTTTATTTTACAAAGCGATACAAGTTCATTCAAATTACGATATACGTTAATTTGATGACGAGCATGATAGTTGAAGTATAACGTTTGTGCATTAGATAAAGGGCACGACGAGTGATTCAAATGACGCCGTGAAGCGTGGGCGTTACCTCACAATATGAAAATCTGCGAACATCTTTCTACTCTCGCGATCCTCAGATGTAATAGTTTGCTATAATTGAATATTGGACAGGCTTTTCTTGAAGTCACTTCCAGCGGCTCTTCTTTTTCGTCGGGTGTCGATTACAGAATACCACTCAGGATTGCACAACCTCGCATTACCTGTGGATAATTTTTGTGCTATCTCATAAAGAGCATTTCCAACGAGTATTCCAAACTATTATGACCTGTCGCAAGTAATGAATTAGGAAAGGGTCATATATCTGTATTTGACAGGTCTAAGTAGGGGGCAAAGTGCACTGCCTATGGTTTTTTATGAATTGTTCAATTGAGATAGCATGCTGGCTACCATCAGAGAATAGGCTTAATAATTTTGCGCCACGACGGTAAGGGCGTCTCATCCTCAGGTTCGAGGTCCTCGTAATAACGGGCACCGGTTTCAATGTCGCACTCGTCTAGCGGTACCAACCATTTGCGGGGGTAAAACCCTCTAAACCCAGCAAGTAACCGCTTATACCACGGCCCTTCTTTCGGCATGTTGAATATGACGGTGAACACCAACCAGCAGAAGACGAAGAAGATTGGCGAAATATAAGCCGTAAAGAACTCACTAGCTGTGAAGTTCCAGAACACGTCAAACCCGTTGACGAGCACGAGGAGAAAGATAAGGAAGGAGGCGTAGTAAGCGGCATACGGCATAAATGGTGCCTTGAAAGGAAGGGTGTTGCGATCAACACCTCGCGCTTTCAACACATTCATAAATCGGATGTGACACACTGAAATCCAGCCCCAAGCAAGCAAACTGGCAGTGGCAGAAATGTTCAATAACCAATTGAACGCCACCATTGACGCCAGATTCACTGCTAAGTAACCTAATGCGCCGAAGGCAGCCAGGAACAAAACGCAAAACACAGGCACGCCCTTATACGGGGTCCACATCATGAATCGTGGGGCAACGCGTGACTCAGCCAACGCGTACAACACTCGACTTGCCAAGTAAACGTTACTGTTCCCGGCTGAAATCACTGTACTCAAAATCACAGCATTGAATATGTGGTCAAGAACATGGGTACCGCTATTGAGAATGGCGATAAGAAAGGGCGATGTAGTCGAATACTCAGCGGTAGAGTCTGCCGGCTGATTTGCTGCCAACCGAGGGTCATCGTAGGGAACAAGCAACCCGAGGAAAAAGATCACCAAGACGTAGAAAATGAGAATACGCCAGATGATTTTGCGGATGGCCAGCGGTAATGTTTTGCGGGGGTTTTGCGATTCACCAGCAGTGATACCGACGGTTTCGGTACCTTGGAAGGTGAAAGCAGCGGCAATCAACGACTTAAGCCACCCTAAGAAGCGACCGGTGGCCTGATCACTTTGCACCATATAACCTGGACCCCAAGGGCCAGGGTGGTGCCAGTATCTGAAACCAACAGCGCCCCTCACATTGTTAGCGCCACACACCATACAAAGGGCATATATTAACCAACCAAGAACAGCTAACACCTTCATTAGTGACATCCAGAATTCGATTTCCCCATAAAATGAAACGGGCAATAGATTGAGTGCAGTCAACACGACAAAGAAGATTGTGATCCATGCCCAAAGTGGGACAGCATGTGTCCAGTAGCCAATAACGTCACCAATGATTGATAGTTCGAGTGCAAACGTGGTCACCCAGGAGAACCAGTAATTCCATCCATTAGCAGCCCCAATTGCGGGCGAAATCCAACGCGTGGCGAATTGAGCAAATGAACCCGTAATAGGGATACAAGCAACCATTTCCCCAAGCGACATGGTGACACTGTAACAAAGGGTAGCTATGAAGAGAAAGGCAATCAATGCCAGCCCAGGACCGGCCTGGGCGATAATATTACCGGTGGAAATGAAGAGCCCGGTACCGATGGTGCCCCCAAGGACGATCATTTGCACCTGCCGAGATTTGAGGCCTCTTTCGACACCTCCAGGAGCTTCAGAGCTCTCTGAGGCGGTGGAATCGACCACCAGGACGCGTGGCTCGATCTTGGATCCGCCATGGGCGATTGTGGAGTTGTAAGGGTGGAATTCGACCTTTTCCAAGTCCAACTCCATAACCAATTTGATAGCATTTTGGGGAGCCTTCGGGGATATATAGGTGCGTCTGATGATAAGTATCTGTCATCATTTTGGGGGTATTATGATGTGGGGAGTGCATAGCTTTCGTATCACCTGCGATCTATCGGCAGGCACAAAACAAAATTGAAGGTTCTGTGAGCCATATATCGCTGTTTGTCTCAACACAAATCGAGTCAGATTAGTTTGGCACCTTCAATGGTACTTGCTAATGAACGAGGTCGCTTCACTCGACATTACATTCCTTCGAGCATGAGGCACGGTTGGTGCATGCTTCAAATCCCGAGGAATGCCTAACAATGGAAGGAATGCTGCTTCATCTTTCGGATTTATCCAGAACAGCAGGTTGGCGTGCGGAGACTTTGATTCCTGAGGCAACGATTAAGGTAATTTTTGCGCCGCGCTCAAATTAAGCGCCGTAACTGATTAAGAAACGCCGTATAGGTTCTGTGGATGCGTTTTTATGCAGCACAGATGGAACTACTTTGGGGAAGTAATTCCTAACAATAGTACTTCCTAAGGTATATCTATCTACTATACAAGAAAACCTGAAACAGTGGTATATATCTCCGTCGAAGCGATCCATAAATCAACTTTCATTGCGAAACAAATTTATGGCGAACGCATGATAGTGGATGTTTGGCCCACATCAGGTCCTGCTTGAGGCTTTACGGAAGAGCACGTTCAAGCACGCACTCGGCGATATGGCCAAAAGGAATACCATGCCGCGGTGATCATCGAAGTTTGATCCTGTTCCCCATATTCAGCCGTGTTGAATATATCGAACTGTATCCACAACTATTCAAAGGTCAAACTCGAAGTAATTTCATTGTATGAAGTAATCAGTTGTAGTTTTAGACTTTTCAGGAGGGTTTGGGATACGAATTACTACCTATTGAGGCAAGGCCCATTGGTGATTATCTTCATGATTCGCAATTATATCTGCGAAAGCCAGTTACGCACAGATGTACGAGACGCAGATTGTGGAATAGATGCGCTGAGAGTGTAGGGGTATTGCAATTCTTTATATAAAATTTACTGCCAATGCCATGGTTTTGTTCAAGCAATACCTTGGGGTTGTCTCATGTTTATTTTGATATGCCTTCGTTTTGCACGTCTCGCCAGAGTTTATCGAAACCCAAAGCTCGTCACCAGGGCATTCCGTTTTTTTCAAAATCTTGCATTACTATCTATCTATCGTCTATTCCCAAAATTACTGGCGCAGTGTATACTATCAGGAATAACTTTACTGGGTGAACGAGAGGCTGTCATAAAATACTTTAGTTTTGAGCACCGACAATTTTGACATATTTTCTCATAAGGAACATGTTCACCGCCTAACCTAAATGTAACCCGCGCAAATGGTTTAGTGGTAAAATCCAACGTTGCCATCGTTGGGCCCCCGGTTCGATTCCGGGTTTGCGCATATTTTTGGCTGATTGTGGCTAACCAAGAAGATTCTGGTATTGATTTTGTCATACTACGGTTTTGTTATGCTAAAGCGTAAGGTTCATCAGCAAAAGTTCTCTCTGTATCTTCCCTAAATGTTCAGCTTTAATCGATTTGCAAGAACGAGAAAGCGAAACAAGCTTGTGAAAAAAGAGTTATCTTAAACAACTTCTATCATCACTACGGTTGTTCTTCTGAGCGAGACTCCGAGTTTGAGAAGAGTTAATCACGTTTGCGCGTCGAATGTGAGCATTCGCTAATGACTGTACGTCCAAAAGTGCTCTTTGATAGTCATGCCGGACTAAACCAACGAAATTTCATGTGTCTGTCAGCATCAGATGAATTTTACATTTTCATAAAGATGAATGTGCAATACTTTGTATTACCGAAATTTGATGGAATCTGAATGAGATTGAGTCTCAGGTTGAAGCAGCAATAAACATCTCACGTATGATGAATGCGCACAAAAGTTAGACTAAACATGGGGAGTCGTATTGAAATTATGTAAAGAATATAGCATCGTGTACTTAACCCAAATTAAGACCGAAGTTTTCCAAAGGAATTGCTTATATATTCATGATATCCATTGCACATGATTCATACCATTGGAGTACTTGATTCTCTTCACTAATACGAGCTAAACGCCTATATTCATGCCAGGTGATAGCCTCAATTACCCGGTCAGACGGGAGCGTTGTAACCAAAAGATTATTTTATCCTATCATGTCTATAAGCTCACATTTTCAAATCTTCATACTCTATTCCTGCAATTGTCCTGTGGTAACTAGTCGGCAGTCTGCACTCTTTTCATTATAATCTCACAATTCTGCAATTTCAGCAACGCAATAGCGCACTAAAGTAACAAAACAACATTTATAGAAATCTGAGCGTCATTGGTAGCTATATAAACAGCTGACAAGTGGATTGTGTAACAACTTCGCTAAATAAAGTATACTTACACAATAAAAGTCAGAAATGCCTGGTTAGCTCAATCGGTAGAGCGTGAGACTCTTAATCTCAAGGCTGCGGGTTCGAGCCCCGCATTGGGCTTTCATTTTTGAACTACTGTTATAGATCGGCAAGCAGCTATCGTCTCATCGATGGCAACTGATTCATTTATTTTTGCTTAGGTTTCGTGATTCATTAGTATATGTCGTAAGCTATGCTGGTAGCTCTATTTTCGAAATGCTATTGAACGCTGGCTTGACGTTCGTAAAATTCAGCAACTTGCGTAGACAGGGTGGCGTCTTCGGGCCCTTTGTCATCCCGTATGCGAATAAATCTAGGGAACCGGAGTGAAATGCCCTTGCCGTACTCAGTGTGCGCGGCTTTGTACACCGGCAGAAGCGACAAGTCGGCCGTGAGTACCTCAAACACGGTGGTGGGCTCAAGCCAGACATCTGGTTTGGCGTTGCTATTGTTCGTGTCGTATACATAGAACGACTTTGGCTGTTCAATCTCGGTTGGCTGAAGCTTTGTGTATAGTTCGGTGAGCATCTCATCTGAAAATCCAGTGCCAATTTTGCAGGTCGTTTCGTATTCTCCCAGATCTTGATTGTACAGCGCAAGCAAAAATCCACCATAGGTACCGGTCCGTTTACCACGACCATGGTAAGCGCCCACGACAACTAAGTCAAGAGAGTCGCCAACACCGGCAAGATAATCTTTCTTAAGCTTAAGCCAGTTCCGCAGTCTTTTACTAGGCTCATACCACAGATCCGTCCCGTGAAGCATCTTCACCATGAGACCTTCACACAGATCCTTTACCAGCTGATCCAAAAACGCCTGGAGCTCATCCAACGACTGCGAATCCTTGGCGGAGGCAAATTGGAGCTTACCAGGAATGGGGGTCAAATGATCAACCATCATCTTGCGTCGCTCAGCAAGGGATTTGGTGATGAGCGGTTCGCCGCCGTAGAACAACATGTCAAACATAAAGAGACAAATGTTCACCTTGATGTCGCCTTCTTTGACGTCCTTCCGCTTCCGGGTCGAGAGCACCTGGAAGGGAAGAATCTTGTCATTGGCGCGATCCCATGCCACAGCTTCGCAATCCAATACCACCAGCTTCACGTTGGCGGTGGCAATGAGTTCTTTCATGATCGCCACCAAGTCAGGGTACCGCTGACTCATGTCTTCCAGATTCCGCAGGTATATCCGCACCAGGCCATCTTCAAGCAAATGCACTTGAGCACGCTCACCGTCGTACTTGTACTCGCAAGTAAACTCTTCACCTTGAAACCGGTCCAACACCTCCAGAATGGCTTTGGTGGGCTTGGCAAGCATCGGTTTGAGAGGTATACCAGGGGTGAGCTTGCAGTGATCGAGCAAGTTGCGCCAGCCGTGAGCGTAGGCATGTTGGATAACCATGTCGTAGTTGGGGGTTTGCGAGAAGGCTTCTTTAAATATCTCCTCAGCTCGTGTTAGTTCGTCTGGGTTAACCTTTTTCCCGGCAGACTGTCCTTTTCCATGCTCATAGTTCACAAAAGCTTGCGCTAACGCTACAAGCACGGTTTGTTCCGCAAGCCCAATTCGAAGCTTACCTTCGAGCAGACGAACAAGAAACTTGGCTTCGCTCAGGTTGGCATCGCAAGCCGTCAACATCTTGATAATGATACCCACCTTCCGATTCTGAGCATCAGACCCCTTGGTCTTGGCGATTTTGGAGAGGTTTTCGAACACTCCCTCCACATCCAACGGCGCCGGTTTGAACATGGTGGGCTGACCCAGACGTGATTTCTGTGCGACTGTACCCAAGTCGCCCAACTTCTTGTAGTCCAGCTTGATGTTGGCCGTCGATCTCCCATAGCATTCGTGAATAGCTTTGATCAACAAAGTCTCACCAAGCCCCAACTCGAGTTCTGGCTCGTAATCGGGTCCTAGTCGATTGATGCAAAGGTAGAGCACTTTGGTGAGCATGTCCGGGGTCGACTGATTTAATGTATCCAAGAAAAACTGCAGACAAATGGCGGTCTTTTCGAGTCTCAGCGACGTGGCACCAACTCTGTCTAACACTTGAGTCAAGTTGGCATATGGAAGCTTGTTTGATGATGTGGTGATTGACTGAGAAGCCTGGTTTTGCGCGAGCTTGATCAACTTAGCAGCCTCCTCCGTGGACACAGCGTCCTCAGGCNTGAGAAGCCTGGTTTTGCGCGAGCTTGATCAACTTAGCAGCCTCCTCCGTGGACACAGCGTCCTCAGGCCCCGTCTCCAGTTTGAGTTCTAGTGTTTCAGCAGACGGGGACTTTTGTTCCAGCTCAGAGTCTGATTCAGGAAGGGTTTGTGCAGCAGCCCTGTTGCCTAGTTTGCGTGCTTTAACAACCTTTTCGTCTGCATCATCATCGCTTGCTGCAATTCTCTTTGACGAATCAACAGATGATTTTGAAGCCGGTTTCTTTGGCAGACCAGCGGGTGATTTCTTTGGAGACTTCTTCGGAGAGTTCTTTGGGGACTTTGCTGGCGATTGGGACGGCTCCGGCGTTGACTTTTTGGGTTGAGAGTTGCTCGCCAGCGATCCGAAAAACCGGGCGATTGATTGCTGCTGGGGCATACGAACAAGTACAGTTCTCAATGGATCCACTCGCAATCGCTGCTGTATGAGGCCTCGACTTAACGTGCAAAGCAATGGAGCACACGGGCGGATGGTGAAGCTGATGATCATCTGGACGCGTCGCGTGTCGCGGAAAACTGTGGCTGGGCGATGCGCGGGGGTGAGCAATTGCAATCGCGATAACGGGGAAATGTTCCCTTGTGAATGATATGCAAATCGAAGACTCCCAGTTGACGAGTTTATTTATATTTTGCTCAAATATTAAGTGCACTACGTGGCGTGAATTTCGGAGATGCACCGAGACGGTGTGATTGTTTCGAGTGGCGCTGACGTGTCATTTACAACTGACCTCAGTGTGTTAAGACACAAGGCAGAAAATCTATGGGCATTTCCTGTCAAATTTTTCACACCAATACCTGAATGCAACTCAAGTCAATTTTGAAACGTGAAGTACAGGTTTACACGGCCACGTATCCAACGAATAGGCAAGACGCAGTGGAAAGTATATGAGGGCAGAAATTGAGAATAATGAGCGAACACCAGGCCATTTCAAGAAAATTTGGTGAGATTTGGACTAGATGTTTTACTATTGGCGGTATCTATAAGCATGGACGTGCCATGTTGACTGATCAATTTTCGAGCTTGCGGATTTACCTGTGTCCTTATCAACGGGTTGAGAAGAGAATCGTTTGTATGAACGAACGTAAAAGGGGCCTGTTCACAAGCGGCCATTGAAGAGACGGTTAACCGCTTTGCCTAGCACAAACGCCCCTGATGCGTGAACGTAGCCTTCTTCAAATTCGGCTCAGACGATTTAGGAAGGCAGAGTTTCAGCTTCATGACGTTCCATCCAGAGTTGACATGGCCATAGCATACAAATGAGCGTATCAGTCTCCCATGGATATCTGTGCGTCGTTTGCTGAGAGGAGTGGGCAAACAACTCAATATAATTATGATCGAGAACTTCATATTGCAAACGTGGCATTGATAGTTGTGTATCCCGTCAATATGCTTCCCGCGGAATCGATGTGTGGTATGAGGTGTTGACAAACTTCATGATGGACAAATATACGCATTGGTTCTGGTTCCAACCATTGCGGCAATGTTGTAAAACCCTTAAAAACTCATTTTATGCGATTGTATGCTATCTTCTAGTTTGTTAGAGACATAATCGAGATAGTCAATTCGGTGAAACTGTTTGGTCACGGCTATACGCAGCAGGCAGCTTTCTTTTGTTGCTTTCGGTACGTCTCAAGCTTCTGTCTACGATGAGAAAAACCCGTTTGGTACGGCGATCCCTCCTCTGGGAGTAAAGGAATTATACAAAAGCTGTGGTATAAGGACAAAGCGTTGTGAAAAATCCGCAAGGTCTTAACTCCGAGAATGTGCACAAACTATGAGCGAATTTTACCATGCAAGACGTGCCAACCATTGAGTGTCAGTGAAAGATCATCGCTTTTCAATTGACATTGAACTTCGTGACGCTGGAACTTGGTGCACGCGAAGTGATTGTGCTACATCGCCATGACGACTCTTGACTTTAAGGGTTGTCGTGGGTTAATTCTAGGTGGTGAACCCAAATATCGGCATTTAGATGGATAAATATTGCGCTGTCATACGTGATTAATGGCTTATCGCATAATATTTTCGCATCGATGGCAAGGTGAAGTCGTGCCACCCTGCACGTAGTACTGCCTCGATGCATCATTTGTGGAACATCTCCGTACTTCACATCTCCGTACTTCAACCCGGTTTTAAGACGTATATCCAACGGTTTCTCACCATGTCAAATGAAAGTCGAATATCTTTTGACAGGGCCTGCCAAGAAAACTATACTGCAGTGTAAACATCTTGGAAATCTCGTTTGCGCATCGAATCTTTTTCTTCGCGTTTGGCAACTGTGGCCCGCTCACGGGCACTATCGTCCGCTCACGGGCACTATAATCCGCACACGGGGACTATCGTCCGCGCATGCAAATTTTCGTTCGCTTGTGGCGTCCATACTTAGGCTCATCACTGGTAAGTGATTGCCTACCATACGCCCAGGGGTAAAATATCGCGGCAGATTGTGCCTTATTGGGAAATAATTTTCAATACTGGCAGACTAAGCTAACCGCTGTTTGTTAAAGACTGCATAAGATTAAATCATTATTCAACTTTGGCAATCAGTTAATGAATCTCCCTAGATTCCACACAAAGCCGTATGACGGCACTCTCAAGCGATGGCGTTTTTACAGCAAATATTTTGAAAGTGCCTGTCGCGTGAAAAAAATATCTGTTTGCTTTTACTTGTGTTCATTAAAATTCCCCTCATTTTGCAATCTTCCACCTATAGTGTTGAAAAGATGCACTCCGCAATTCCTCGGATGCTATATGATTTGCGGGCGTTTTATTAATTGTCGTAGATGAGCCACCTCCATACTACTCCATGCAGATCTAAGATGAGGTCGATGCTAGGAGGTTTCTTGTGAAAACGAAACCTGCACTAAATTCTCTCTCTCAGAAGCAAACTCATACGATGTGGACTGGTGGTAAGGTGTCTGTAAACTTGGTTAGTTAAAAGCTCCACCTACTTCAAGAGTTTTTCGAAAAGCGCAGACAGCTAAAAATAATATTGGCCAAAGTCGACCCCACTTCATGCAGAGGTCCCTCTCCCCATACCCCACTCAATTGGTACGGAGTGTACGGAGTATACGTGCAGAAGCACACTATAAGTATAATTCTCTGTTCATCCGAAATAGGTTTCCACAAGTTGATGTCTGAATCAATCAGCACTAAAGAAGACAGAGATCGAGGATCCTCGCTCGATGTGTCGAGGATTCAAACTGCCGGTGAAAATGATGAATACATAATCATCGGTAACCAGAAATTTCACCGTTATGAGTTGATGGCTGCATTTGGTGGTACAATGAACCCAGGTTTGTCGCCTCCTCCTAAACACAAGTTCGCCAACCCTGCTCCCATTGGTCTCTCCGCTTTCGGAATGACGACGTTTTGCATGTCGCTTTACAATGCTCAAGCGATGGGTGTCACCATTCCCAATGTCGTAGTCATTATGGGCGCTTTCTATGGTGGCGCTGCTCAGTTTTTGGCTGGTGTTTGGGATTTATGCGTTGGTAACACCTTTGGTGGTACCGCATTTTGCTCCTTTGGTGCCTACTGGATGGCGTATATGGCTATGCATGTAAAGGCGTTCAACGTTATTGATGCCTACGTTTTCGAGGATGGCACTCCCGACACTCGCCAGTTCCACAATGCCCATGGATTCTTTTTGGTTGCTTGGGCTTTGTATAGTTTCATGTTGTGCTCTCTTACCTTAAAGTCAACTGTGGCGTTCTGTGTGATGTTCATTTGTCTCACAGTGACATTCATTTTACTTGCCATTGGTGAATTTACTGACAAGGTCGGTGTTACTAGGGCTGGAGGCGTCGTCGGTCTTGTGACAGCTTTCTTGGGTTGGTATAACGCTTGGGCTGGTGTGGTTACTAAGACTAACGCCTACTTCACCTTTTACTCCATCCCTCTCGACCGCTCTTGATTTGAACGCGACGACCATTGCTCGTGAGTATTGACGGCTTACGACAACACCTCATGACAGACCTTCTTATCGAAAAACTGAAAAAAACCAAACAAGCAATCAAATTTTTTCTATTTTATAAGTTAACAAACAATATACGAGTCAAGCATCACACAAAACAACTCTTTTTGAAACATGGTGCTATGGACCATTCTTTCAAATTGCATTAACGTATGTCGCTTGTGCACTCTTCCACCTGGTCGCTCTGCATCGCTAATGAAACAGCACTTCAGTACGACACCTGCTTGAAGTCTATCACCCTTAATCGCAACACGCGAATCAAAACCGTATTTGCGCCCTTTCATACAACACTTTCAGCATCGTGGCAAGACAGTTAACACTGTATACCACGTCCCCCATCTCGCTCGGGCTCTCCAGCTCAATAATTCTTGTCCAACTTCTGTTTCAAACACCCCCTTCAACGATCACAAACAGTCGTTGTCCCTTAGCTCAATCTTAGCTGTCATAAGACTCTTACAACGCAATTGAGAAACCAAATTTAGATGGTTGTTGGATTGCCCGCCCATTAAGCTTAATTAGTCAAAGGGACCAAAGCTAACCTCTCCGGAAAGCTGCAACCACGAAAACTCCGTTGTTTGATGATAACAGCTTTGGAACGGGAATGGCTTGAGAGTTTTCAGGTACTCGGTGTAGCCTCCTTGTGGTCTCGCAGGGTGTAGTACATTGCGGGGTTTGATTGCCAGCCACATCATGAGCTACTGTTACCCAATTAGGCAAGTCGATGCGTTCATCATGTAGGAATTCTAAGACGCGTTTAACATCAGCAGGAACAACATCAGCCCCTGGTCTTCCCGTGGGCACTACTTTCAGCCACTGACCTGAGCACATCTACCTGAACGATGTACCCGTTGTTTTGGACGTGATCCGTTGTGGACATGACCGGTAAGAAGTTTTGCCATCGTTTGTCGATTTCAGCGGGTTCCCATCTACCGTCATGAGGACGAATAAGGAGCAGACTCGTCTTTTCTTCCGTTCGAGATACGATTTGGGTGATGTTAGAAACATCCTGCCAGATTTCTGGCATGTTCGAATGATGTGACGGCCTCGGAAATTTCGCATATAGGGATTGAGTCATTGCTTTGCAAGTGACGCCTATCATCCGGTTTTTTTTGTTGAAATTAGGCTACAAACGGGTCTATTATCCGAGATTGTCTAATTCTATTCCGCCAACATCGTTTCGTCATCATCACCATTACGTCGCCGCTTCTATAGGCCTGTTTATCCTTTTAGCGCCTGAACCTATTGAGCACCACGAGATTTTGTGGTGAATAAAAGTTTCATTTGCAAGGAGTCTAAATTCCATTTCGCTAAGAGGTTCCACTTAGGACTGATCCATGTGATGATTTTTTTTGATGGCATAGCCTTTATATTTGAATAAGTTGATAGTATGCGAACGGAACCCAATCTACTGAATATACACCGAGTGGATTGCAATCAGTAGTGATGACTTTTACAGCAGGCTATGGTAGGTGTCTTCAGTAGAACCATAATCACCTGAAGGGGGGTTAAATGTGGGTACGATTGGAGACATCGAAACGTGAGGGCTTCGGCGGGATAACGGCGCTGAAACGTGGTTGGAACCATACTCAAGTATGAAGCGTCGTTAAATCCACTAAAAACGAGCCTGATCGATGTACAGTCCCAGCATACCTCGCTCCGTAACTCCTCGAATTCATGGTGTCTCGAGGGAGACAAACCGGTAGCAAGGGCGATGGCGGGTGGAAGTCATTATCTCAGATAAAAAGTAGAATACTGACAATGGTTTCAGTGACACTCAACGGTACGTCCTCGAGTAGTGGGTATATGGAGATCGAATAGACAATCCAGCATGATGCTCCATACGGAGATTTCTAACGCCAGTAATCAACCACATGTAAACCCTCCGCCAGTAAGCTCCCATAACAACAACAGCACCAAGCTCATTGGTTAATATTGGAGGTGGCGATCGTCGATTGTCCAGTCACTATTGAAGCAGGTTGTGCTGCTCTAGCTCGCTAGAAAGCAGGCTTGCATAGTCACTTGTTTCAATCATCATGACGGTGATTATTAGGATGCACAAACTATCGTAACCAGGGGCGAGTCTTTAGGTTTGGCTGGAGAATGGATTATTTGTGGGACGCGTCTGTCTGTGGAGAGGGCGTGTTGATTCGGACGCGCACTTCGAGCCTAAAATTGCTCACCGTGGCATCAACCCATTCTCATGGAAGATCTCGTTGGAAAAGCTTGGACTCCATTGTGATGATGAACTATCTTATGGTGGTTATCGACGGAGACCTGTCTATCAGAGGAGATTCGTCCCTTTAATCGGTGGCTGTCAAAGTCTGACAACGGAGCCACGACGAGTGGGGGCGTTGTGCTGGTGTCTCAACGATAACTGTCCTTGGTTGTTAATTGTTACTGCTTCTATTGATGAAGTAAGTCGGTTTACCCGATACTTCGCCTGTCCCATTGATCGCTATTCAACCATTGACTTGTTATTGCTATCCCTTTGGTTTCAAACAAAAATCGAAGTGACGATGACGTGATGGCTTCCACGAGGATTATTTCAAGAGTGCCTCACTGGACGTCAGCATGCTCCGGCGGTGGTGATGATACTGAATGATTCGCAAGTTGCCAGTCAACGACGTAAATCGTTACCGTTTGTTGTTGACACAGTAATTCCATATTAAGATACAATCTTATCGATTATTTGATCGGTTTCACCTGGCACGAGCGTCACCCTTTATTATCATGCGATGTATCATTACTCGACTTCATCAAATCGAAAATCTGTTGAATGGATGAGGTGGCTGATGATCATTTCTCTCCTAAGCTTCCGCCCACAACACTTTGGATCCCTGAGAGCATGAGCACCTCACACGTGCCTGAATTCCTGTATTCGATAAACTCCATTTTCGTGGTGCTTTGTGGTTGAATGGGTGATATACCTTGAGAGCAGTACCCATTGCCAGTGGAGGTATATTACGCTTCCATCAACTCGGAGGCACGTGTTTCAGGAGCACTCGACTATTGGATGCCTGTTCGCCTTCTGATATTTGGCGCTTTCTGAATAACCTCAATGATACAAGGCCCCACTTGAGGGTTTGCGACCAAAGCTATCATATTTGTGCGGCAGGTTTTAGTCTCAAAGCACAAACAGATATTGAACTCGCGATAGGTTGCTAGATCACGCAAAGTTCAAACGTTGCCTGGATCACCTCAAGCTGGCGGAATGTCTTACCAAGACATGATATCCAGTTGTGGAATACGCATGTATAGCCGGTGGAAGAAGCCGCAGTTTGTCTTGGTTGCGAGATTGGTACGCTGGTGCTTACTGCGATTGTTGGTTCATTTGAAATCAGGCAAACTGCATAGGATGGTTTGTCGCGGTCACAATTATTTGAAATGGCATGTACGGATCCTCCGCCTGATTGAAATTGGCCAAGGGTAACATTGATAAAGAACGCAGTCCAATGCCCGCGCGGGTACCTTCCCCATTGTGAGATTAGGCAGTTTGAAAGATAATGAAGTGGTCAGAGCCACAAGCTACCAAGAACCCTATAGCTCGTGCTGTTTTTACAGTCATCGACGAGATCTATAAGAGACATTTTCGTGTGATGTGGGAATAACGCTACCTCTATGCATGCTTGCGTATACTCTGCTCGATTAGGTTTATGCGGCGCAGCTCATCAACGTGAGTGTTTGACTCCGATGGAGCAATGCTACTAACGGCCTCGGACGGTTTCCTGATTGGGATTTTGTGGTGTCACTGCGCGATGCGTCTGTAGCTGATTCGCGAGCGCTACATGAACGCGAAACCTACAAGTTGAATTCAGGTATTCTTTAATAGACAAACAATAAGAAAATAGAGATACGTGCAACTTCTCTTTACTTATAGCTCAAGGGTAATAGAGGTATAGTGTGTGGATCATCTAGCTTTGAGCTACTATATCAGCAACGAACACAGATCATCGTGTTCTCTTGGACGGATAAGTGTCCCTCAATACAATGGGATATGATCTTCCATACATCGTGTGCGACTCACGTGGCTCAAATGATACTCAAGTCTGCGCGATAGTTTGTACACTGTCGCAGTGAACAAGTAGCAGTAAAGCAAACGAAATCACTACTTAGATAGTTAATTGAATTGCGTTGACAACAAGTGCACTGCCTTTCATTATTCTTCCGTATTTATTACAAAATGCTGTAAATCTCGCCATTTCAACCAGAAACAAAAGTGACGGACACTAAACACGAACTGATCGCAGCGTTAACAAATGCACCTCAAAGTAGTTGGTGGTGGGAAGAGTTGGTGGTGACACAGGAGACTGCCGGGGCTTCTGGAGGGATTTTAAAACCAAACACACGCTCTTTGCGAGGGGATATGGACGACGACGCGATGTTCTGTTACTGGTAGAACTACTTAATTACAGCCATGTGGTTAGGCAATGCCGATCATGGTTGGCGTGTATCTGAAGTATGATCGATTATAGGGCTGGCTGAATCTAGCCACCCTTAGTCGCGCATAATGCGACCACCGACACCGCGACATCGCCAGCAGTAATTGAGCCACGACTACCCTAATGTCGCCACGTGATTGTAAGCCATTGAAAATGATTGGTTTGTAGGCTGGGTGCACGACGTCAACTCTAGCTGGGCTTATTGGTCTTGGGGCTGAGCTAGCCGTACGTGTTAATAATAGATATCGTAAATAAAAAATAATGAAGGCTTATCGGTGGGCTTTATGCAACCTCACCTGCATACGCTTACTAAGCGTGAAACCCGGCAGGAGGCGATGCTACACACATCTACTCTCAATAGCATATATATTCTAACTCGACAAAAATCTAAAACTCCATTCACAACAATGGAATCGTTCAAGCAGCTGATGATCGAGCAGCTTCAGTATAACCCCCTGAAAGCCTCGATCACCACCGTGTCCACGATGACTCTGATCGCCACGCTGAAGGCGTCCAATGTTGCAGCTGATCTTTCGCTGCTTTCTCAAGCTATGGCAACCAACACTGTCCCAGGTCTCGTTAGACAAATTTACCTTCCTTATAGAGGGGCCCAGGCCACGATGCAAGCCATCAATGCCGAAGAGGCGATCGCTACGGCTACCGATCTGCTGGTACTTGCGCAAGCCACGGCAGATCTTTATGATGCCACATTGAACCTCGCCAACTTGAGCGAAGAACGAAACATGTACCACACCCACTTGAGTCATTTTGGTAATGTGTGGTTTTTAGCTATCTTCTCCATCATCCTTGCCTACTTTTTGTTGATGTTGATCAAGCTGAGGTATTGGTGGTTCAACATTACCATGACTTGCGGATACGGGCTCGAGTGGATAGGGTTCCTAGGTCGAGTACTCAGTTTACTGGATACCAGCAGAATGGACTACTACGTGATGCAAAACCTTTGCCTTACGCTAGCCCCCGCCTTTATCATGGCGGCCATTTACTTTTTGTTTGCGCAATTGGTGGTCATTCATGGGCGACTGTACTCGGTTCTTAAACCGATGTGGTACCTGTATTTCTTCGTAGCCTGTGATGTGATTTCCCTTTTTGTTCAAGGCGGTGGTGGTGGTGTTGCTGCTAGTGCATCGAATGCACAAACTGGTATCAACATTATGCTTGCAGGTATAATCTTTCAAGTGTTTTCTATGACGGTCTTCTTCGTGTTTTGGTTCGAATTTTTGAACCGTCTTTGGTTCCGCCACGGTGAAGGGAGGTTGGCTAAGCGTACTCCCGCTAATATTGCCAGGTTTTTCTTCAACACCAAAGCGGTGCAATATTACCGGGAGCATCAATTGGAGCCCTACTACAATCCAAACTTAGCTTGCATCCGTCACCGCAAGTTGTTTGAATGGATGCCGCTAGCGATTACTGTGGCGGTGGCAGTGGTGTACATTCGAAGCATTTACCGAGTGGTAGAACTTGCGCAAGGGTTTACAGGCTATTTAATCGTTCATGAAGTTTTTCTTTTCGTTTTGGATGCAACGATGATCTCAATTTGTGGACTCATTTTCATCCCTTTCCATCCGGTGTTGTCGTTGGGCACACAACAGGTTATTCGCCTTGCCACCATTAAGCAAAACGAAGATGAAGCTTACACTAAGGGATCGACCCAAAGCCACTATATTGACGAAAAAGATTCGCAAAGCGTATCTTTTTCGTTGAACACAATGCAAGACACAGCCATCCCTCTTCGCAATCTAATGTGAAGAATTGCCCTCAAGTTGTTTTATACTCAATACAAACTCAAAACACGATCACATTCCACCTGAATTCTCGTCAAAACGGACCTCGGCGAGAATAGACGTCGTGTGGCACGGCCGATAGTTGATGATTTCGGACCCCGAAAACACCGACGAGGAAAAATGAAGACTAGATAAGGTGGGGGTCACAGTAGAAGTGGTGTGCGTGTGGTTTTAGGTGGTGGCGGCGGTTACGTTAGAGGCGGGGCTACGGGGGGTAATTTACAAGTACTACGGGGTCTAACACCGCGACCACGCCACCAGCAGTGGCGCTGTAAGTACCAAACTTTGGCCACGTTATCGGGCATCGTTGACAATGCTTGGGGCGTAGTTTGGCCTTAGTTGGATAGCGGGCTGGTGAGGTGGCTGAGTTTGGTGTGCACCGACGACGTTGCCACGCCACCTGAAGTTGTCCAACCAACGCCAAACTGGTACAACAGTATGAGGCACCCGTTGGGATGTAGGTGGCGTAGTTTCAGCCCAATCGAAGCTGGTTCGGATTTGCACCCCCGCTGGAGGCCCTTAGCGTGACCACCGCCAACACAGCGACGACACCCAAAGTAGTCTGATCAGTACCAAACTGATGCAGTAGTATCGGTCGTCCGTTGGTATGCAGGTGGCGTAGTTTCAGCTTAGTTGGAGCTGAGATGGGCGAGATATGGCTTCTCTGGTTGCACTCCGGGTGACCTCCGACAGCACCGCCACGCCAGCAGCAGCCACAAGTTGACAAATCAAACTGTGTGGTCGTTTTTGGACAGCACTGAAGATGCCGGAGACGTAGTTTGGCAATTGGGAACCGCGTGGTGGGCGAGGTATGGCGTGTCTTGGTTGTGCTTGTTCCGCCGACACAGCGACGACACCGAATGTTGTCCGATGAGCACCAAACTGATGCAGTAGTATTAGGCACC